CAATAAAATACTGGAAAACTGATTGCAACAGCACATCAAAAAGCTTACCCAAAATGATCAAGTAGGCTTCATTCCAGAGATGCAAGGCTGGTTCAACATATGCAAGTCTATAAACGTAAACCACCGCATAAACAGAACCAAAGACAAAAACCACGTGATTATCTCAACAGATGCAGAGAAGGCCATTGACAAAATTCAACAGCGCTTTATGCTAAAAACTCTCAATAAACTAGGTATCAAAGGAACATATCTCAAAATAATAAAAGCTATTTATGACACACCTACAGCCAATATCATACTGAATGGGCAAAAACTGGAAGAATTCCCTTTGAAATCTGGCACTAGACAAGGATGCCCTCTCTCACCACTTGTATTCAATACAGTATTGGAAGTTCTAGCCAGAGCAATTAGACAAGAAAAAAAAAAAATAAAGAGTTTTCAATTAGGAAAAAAGGAAGTCCAGCTGTCTCTATTTGCAAGATGACATGATTGTATATTTAGAAAACCCAATCATCTCAGCTCAAAATCACCTTAAATTGATAAGTAACTTCAGCAAAGTCTCAGAATACAAAATCAATGTGCAGAAATCACAAGCATTTCTATACACCAATAACAGACTAACAGAGAGCCAAATCATGAGCAAACATCCATTCACAATTGCTACAAAGAGAATAAAATACCTAGGAATACAACTAACAAAGGATGTAAAGTACCTCTTCAAGGAGAAGTACAAACCACTGCTCAACGAAATAAGAGAAGACACAAACAAATGGAGAAACATTCCATGCTCATGGTTAGGAAGAATCAATATGATGAAAATGGCCATACTGCCCAAAGTAACTTATAGATTCAATGCTATCCCCATAAAGCTATCAATGACCTTCTTCACAGAACTGGAAAAAAACACCTTAAACTTCATATGGAACCAAAGGAGAGCCTACATAGCCAAGACAATCCTAAGCAAAGAACAAAGCGGGAGACATCACGTTGCCTAATTTCAAACTATACTACAAGGCTACAGTAATCAAAACAACATAGTACTGGTACCAGAACAGAGATATAAACCAATGGAACAGAACAGAGGCCCTGGAGGCAATGCCGCACATTTACAATCATCTGATCTTTGATAAACCTGACAAAAACAAGCAATGGGGAAAGGATTCCCTATTTAATAAATGGTGTTGGGAAAAACTGGCTAGCAGTGTGCAGAAAGCAGAAACTGGACCCCTTCCTGACACCTTACACTAAAATTAACTCCAGATGGATTAAAGACTTAAACATAAGACCTAACACCATAAAAACCCTAGAAGAAAACCTAGGCAAAACCATCAGTATATAGGCATAGGCAAGGACTTCATGACCAAAACACCAAAAGCATTGGCAACAAAAGCCAAAATAGACAAATAGGACCTAATTAAACTCCAGAGCTTCTGTACAGCAAAAGAAACAATCATTAGAGTGAACCAGTGACCAATAGAATGGGAAAAAATTTTTGCAATCTACCCATCTGACAAAGGGCTAATATCCAGAATCTACAAAGAACTAAAACAGATTTACAAGAAAAAAACAAACAAACCCATCCAAAAGTGGGAGAAGGATATAACAAATACTTTTCAAAAGAAAACATATATGAGGCCAACAAACATATGAAAAAATGCTTATCATCACTGATTATTAGAGAAATGCAAATCAAAACCATATTGAGATACCATCTCATGCCAGTTAGAATGGTGATCATTAAAAAATCTGGAGACAACAGATGCTGGAGAGGATGTGGAGAAATAGGAACACTTTTACACTGTTGGTGGGAGTGTAAACCAGTTCAATCATTGTGGAAGACAGTGTGGTGCTTCCTCAAGGACCTAGAAATAGAAATTCCATTTGACCCAGCAATCCCATTAGTGGGTATATACCCAAAGGATTATAAATCATTCTATTATAAAGACACATGCATATGTATGTTCACTGTGGCACTGTTTACAATAGTAAAGACCTGGAACCAATGCAAATGCCCATTGGCGATAGACTGGACAAGGAATATGTGGCACACCATGGAATACTATGCAGCCATAAAAAATGATTAGTTTGTGTCCTTTGTAGGGGCATGGATGAATCTGGAAACCATAATTCTCAGTAAACTGACACAAGAACAGAAAATCAAACACCACATGTCCTCACTCATAGGTGGGTGTTGAACAATGAGAACACAGGGACACAGGGAGGGGAGCATCACACACTGGGGTTGGTTGGTGTGGGTGGGTGGAGTAAGGGATGGACAGTGGTGGGGTGGGGAGGTTGGGGAGGGATAACATAGGGAGAAACGCCAGATGTAGGTGATGGGGGATGAAGGTAGCAAATCACATTGCCACGTATGTACCTATGCAACAATCCTGCATGATCTGCACAGGTACCCTAGAACCTAAAGTACAATTAAAAACAAACAACAAAAATTAATGTTCACAATTTCATTGGCATTAAGCGAAATAGGGTCCCCCCAACCAACAAGTATGGGAGGAGTTTGGTGCTACTGCCTTTCATTTGTATGCTAAGGCCCCAGAAGTTTTATTCACCATTGATTTTGCACCATTAGTGTAAATTCCAGCAGTAAAAAAGCAAATAACAGCATTGTTATAAACAGCTGTGATGTTGAAGACTCTTTGAAAGAGTCTCAGGGGCCTCTAGGTGGCCATGGATCATGCTTGGAGAATTGCTGTGATATGTGTTAGGATAAACACAGAATATAAAAAGACATGGCCGGGCGTGGTGGCTCATGCCTGTAATCCCAGCCCTTTGGGAGGCAGAGGCAGGTGGATCAGGAGGTCAGGAGATAAAGACCATCTGGACCAATGTGGTGAAACCCTGTCTCTACTAAAAATTCAAAAAAATTAGCTGGGCATGGCAACGCACACCTGTAGTCCCAGCTACTCGGGAGTCTGAGGCAGGAGAATTGCTTGAACCCAGGAGGCCGAGATTGCACCACTGCACTACAGCCTAGGCGACAGTGGGAGACTGTCTCAAAACAAAAACAAAAACATTATGTTCTCAATTTCATCTTCTAATAGAGGAAACCCGTGGAGATGATTACAACGTAGCTTTAGTGACCCAAGAAGTGGTAGCAGTGTGGAGGATAAATTAGACGTGCTTTATTTCTTTCCTTTTTTTTTTTTTTTTGAGATGGGGTCTCACTATGTTGCCCAGGCTGGAGTGCAGTGGCTATTCACTGGCGAGATCCCACTACTGATTAGCAGCCGAGTTTTGACCTGCTCCGTTTCTGACCTGGGCCGGTTCACCCCTCCTTAGGCAACCTGGTGGTCCCCTGCTACCGGGAGGTCACCATATTGGTGTTGAACTTAGTTGGGACACCTGATCGGTATAGCACACTACAGCCCAGAACTCCTGGGCTCAAGCGATCCTCCCACCTCAGCCTCTAGAGTAGCTGGGACTAGCGGCACGTGCCACCAGGCTCAGTTCTTTTTTTTTTTTTTTTTTCAGACGGAGTCTCGCGCCCAGGCTGGAGTGCAATGGCAAGATCTCGGCTCACCTCAACCTCCACCTCCCGGGTTCAAAGCGATTCTCCTGCCTCAGCGTCCCTAGTAGATGGGATTAAAGGCATGAGCCACCACGCCTGGCTAATTTTGTAGTTTTAGTAGAGACGGGGTTTCTCCACATTGGTTAGACTGGTCTCAAATTCCCGACCTCAGGTGATCCGCCCATCTCAGCCTCCCAAAGTGCTGGGATTACAGGAGTGAGCCACCGCGCAGGTTAGACATGCTTTAAAGTAAGAAGACCAAATAGGATATCATAGAAGCAATCCAGGCAAGCGATGATGGGGCCTTGCCTAAGGCGGTGGCAACAGGAAGGGTGAAACTTTTGAGGTGGTGGAATGACAGGATCTGACGACTGATTAGACGTGAAGCATGGAGAAGAAGGGCCACAGTGTGCACAGCGATGCCTTTTCTTCACAGGCATTATAGGAGGGGCAGGTAGATAGGAGGAGACAACGGGTTTAGTTTCGGATTTACTGACTCTGGGATGAATGTCAGATCGCTAGGTGGCAGGCAACTGAGTATTCCTCCTCATCCAACCAGGAGGGCCTTGCAGTTTTGTCTCATTCACCACTCTTACTTCCTAGCTTAGCACAAAACCTAGTTCTTCACATTGAATAAATCAATGAATCTGGTCAGGTGCTCCTGTGAGTGATCTGGAAGGAGTTAAATTTTGGTCGTTGTGGGAGACGCGTCTGTGAAGCCCTACGAGCGGAGGCGGACTGCGGCGGCAAGACCGAACTCAGCTTCAGAACCCTCCCGCCGCGAAACCTTCAGAGTCAGCGGCGTCTTTGCGGAATGGTGCCTCAAAATGGCTCGCGACGTCCTATAACATCTACATTTATTTTGGAAAACTTGTTTTCGTAAAACCCAGCATGCCTAGTCACCAAAATTTGTTAACTTTACGGCGGCATATTAATACCTGTCAGGTTGGTTTTAATTGGGGCGGGACGGGGCGGACCTCACCATCCCACCCTTCGGTATGTGGCCGGCGTCTTCACGACCTCGCTTTTCACAACCCCGGTCCCCGAGGGCTTATCTGCGGCTGTCGGAGTCCACAGGACGTAGCCCCAGAGCAGGGTGACGTGCCACTGTTCCCTGCGGCCAGACAGGGGGCGGTGCTCACGCCCCCAGCCCCGCTGACGCGACATAGGCCGAGATCACCTCAGAGGCTCGCGGTGCAATCACAGAGCGCGCCGCTGCCTGTCGAGCTCGCTCTGAGATCCCTCCGCCCAGCGACTCCAGCACCGTGTCCTAGCGCCCCACACCCGGGCAAACAGAACCGGGTTGCCTGCGATTCTCAGGGACTGATCGCCTCTTCAGCTACGTTCTCCTCTTGCCCTGTACCACTGTGCGACAGGCGCAGCCCGCTTCTTCAGGTCCCCTTTCCCGCGCAAGAACACTGCCAAATCACAGTGTTATTTAGGGGCGTGGCCAGCGACAGACCCCGCCCCGTTCTGTGACGCACACAGTGGCGCGCGTGGGACCCGAGGGCTGGGGCTGGGTTTAGTAGGAGACCTGGGGGCCGGGGCCGCCTGTAGACGCCCATTTGCCAGCTTCTCTTGCTCCGCCGATTAGGAGGAGCGGTGGCGACCTCGGCCTCCAGTGTCTCCGGCGAAGTGAAGTGGCGGCGGCGGCCAGGATGATGTTGCTGGGCTTGCTGCAGGCGGGCGGGTCAGTGCTGGGTCAGGCGATGGAGAAGGTGACAGGCGGCAACCTCCTGTCCATGCTGCTGATCGCCTGCGCCTTCACCCTCAGCCTGGTCTACCTGTTCCGTGTCGCCGCCGGCCACTTGGTCCAGCTGCCGGTAGGGGCGGTACGTACATTCTTTCCGACCCAAGCGGAGTGAGCGCCGCCGCTGAGGCGGCAGAAGGGCTGGCGTGGGAGGCTCCGTGGTCCCGACCTGCTCTGTGTCCTGGACCGGCTCTGTGTCCTAGCTGGCTGGGCTGGGGGGACACCGCAGCCATGCTTGGCGTGGCCGTGGTGGCAGGCGCGCTCGGGGCTGGAGTAGTGGCTGCGGCGGCGGCACTGCTGCTGGTGGCGCTGGCGGTAGCGCCTGCCGTTGCCTTGTTGGCCTCCCGGCTGTGTATCTGCACCTGGTCGGGGTCGTGGTTGCGGCGTTTGTGGTTGTAGTGATGGGTGTACTGACCGCGGCAGTGGTGTCCCTAGTGGCAGTGGCCGGACTGGCGACTGTGGCTTTGAACAACCCGGTGGTCGTTGGGGCCCTTGGTTGGGGTCCTGTTGGCGATGCTTTTTGGCAGCTGGGCCGTCATGCTGGAGGCTGCCCTGTGTAGTTCAAGGTTCTATGGGCTGAAACAGTGCCCCTAATGGCAGCTTATATCCACATTAAGGGAGGATGTGTAGAGTGTGGTAGTGGGAGTGACTGGAGTGTGGTAAGGACCTGCCTCGGATGGTAATAAAGTAACAGTTTCTTGGTTGGGTGCAGTGGCTCATGCCTGTAATCCCAGCACTTTGGGAGGCCGAGGCGGGCGGATCACCGGAGGTCAGGAGTTCCATGACCAGCCTGGCCAAAGCAGTGAAACCCCATCTCTACTAAAATACAAGAAAAAAAAAAATTAGCTAGGTGTGGTGACGCACGCCTGTAGTCCCAGCTACTTGGGAAACTGAGGCAGGAGAATTGCTTGAACCTAGAAGGCGGAGGTTGCAGTGAGCCGAGATCAGGCCACTGCATTCCATTCTGGGCAACAGAGACTCCGTTTCAAAAAGACAAACCAAAACAGTTTCTCTAATTTAACAGCTTTATTAACCTAACTTTCAACTCCTAAATGTTATTTGATGGAGGTACCTTTTACAGTCAGCAATAAGTAGCTTTTAAAAACTACCCTTTTTTTTTTTTTTTTTTTTTTTTTTTTTGAGATAGAGTCTCTCACTCTGTCGCCAGGCACCAGGCTGGAGTGCAGTGGCGCAGTCCCGGCTCACTGCAATCTCTGCCTCCTGGATTCAAACAATTCTCCTGCCTCAGCCTCCGGAGTAGCTGGGACTACAGTCGCACGCCACCACGCCCAGCTAAATATTTATATTTTTTAATAGAGATGGGGTTTCACCATGTTGGCCAGGATGGTCTCGATCTCTTGACCTCATGATCCACCCGCCTCAGCCTTCCAAAGTACTGGGATTACAGGTGTGAGCCACTCCGCCTGGCCCAAACTACCCCTTTACTGACAATGCAGTGTACAAACTTTTGACCAAGTAGCTTTTAAAATAATTTTTGTTTGAACCACACCAGGACCAGGCATAAGGCAGAGTTATAATTATTTTTCGTACATACGGGATTTTTAAGGAAGTGGTATTTGTATCTGGAAAGACAAAGTTACCTTTAGTGTTTAAAGGTAGTGCTATTAGCTGATATGAGGTTGTGGTGCTCCTTTCTATTTGAGACCACCAGAGATCTGAGGAATATTACCCTTTTTTGTTATTGCAAATTTGATTTCCAGGATACTTAATATTGTAATTTGCAGGTCTCATTTTGTGGCATCTAAGGTATCTTTTATGATGAATGCTAGAGTTCTTGCTAGAGCTGATCTACTCTCTAAAATCAGTGGGTCTAGTTCACTTGCAGTGAGAGAAACATGAAATGGATTGTTTACTGAGAAATTAATGTAGCTTTTAAACATTTCCCTTCTTTCTATACCTCAAGTTACTATTTGTCTTTTTCTATATTTTCTTTAAGCAAGACTCTAGTACTAAAATTGTGAGGAGAAGTAGAAGTAAGTGGTGAAGAAACAATACAGTGGGCTCTCTGGGGACCCAAATTCCACATTTGGGAATTCAATTAAGTGTAGATCTAAAATATTTGGAAAAAACCCCAATACAAAATAACAATAAAAAATAATACAAATAAAAAACACAGTTTAACAACTATTTACATAGCCTTTACATTGTATTGGGTATTGTAAGTAATCTAGAAATGGTTTAAGGTATATGAGAGGATTGTGCATAGGTTATATGCAAATACCTTGCCATTTTATATAAGGGACTTGAGCATCGCTGTATTTCTATCTGTGAGGGGGTCCTGCAACCCCACAAATGCCAAAGGACAAGTGTAGTTTGACTTTCAAATGCCAAAGGACAAGTGTAGTTTGACCTTTTTGGTTTTTTGCTACTAACGGTTAGAAAAGTTGCCTGGAGATACCAATAATGATTGGACATATTCTGGACAGTGTCCATCATTTAAAGTTCAGTGCCTTTGTGTGTATCTAGTCGTTTATCTTTTACCGTGTTTTGAGTTTCTATTCTTTTTGCAAATAGCTACTGTCTTAAGGTATTTGCAATTTGACTGTTCTCAAGTTACTTCTAATGTGTCCTTTTTTTTTTTTTTTTGGTAACTTTTTTTAAGTCTTAAAAGCTATTTTGTTTAATTGTTTGGTCATGAAATAAAATGGGTTTCTCTCTTAAAATGAAATGAGAACTAAATTTTTTTTTTTTTTCTCTTGTAGAAAAATCCTCCATACATTGTCTCCCCGATTCCATTCCTTGGGCATGCTATAGCATTTGGGAAAAGTCCAATTGAATTTCTAGAAAATGCATATGAGAAGGTAAGTCTTCCAAATAATTAGAGGAAAATAAACTAGTTAGGAGAAGTGCTTTTTAAACTTTTTTTAAAAAAGTGCCAGAACATTTAAAAACATTGTAATCTTATACATATCCTCAGTATAGGAAACAAAATGGAAACTGCTCTGGTTTAAGAGATAGTGTCTTACAGAAACCTATCCTTTTAGCTTCTCCCATGTCCTGGGGTCATCTTTGAGACACCATTGAGGAAACCTATGGTTCTGGCAACTATGGTTTAAAAACCACTGTTCTGAGATTTCTGTTCACTGGTTGTCACTAAAATTGATATTAATTAATATTAATTAAAACCAACCCTGATTTTTCTTTACCATGCATCTGTGAGTTCTAACCTGCTGTATACATCTCTGATTTCACTGTCCATTTGAATGACCCACGTGACATCATGGCCTCTCTAATGAGCTTTCCTGTGCCAGTTAAACCATTTACTTCACAGTCTCACTTTGGACTTGTCACTCTTAACTGTTTCACCTCCACAATATTAATTTAGATATCCTATTCTTAGATAATACATTATCCTGGTTTGCTTGTATAACTCCTTAAATTATAACTATCTTTGACCTCATTAGATCTTGCATTCCATTTACTTTCTCCTGATCCATCAGCCTTTTTTCTTCACTTTCCTTTTTCCACTTTGGGTCCATGACACGTCATTTCCATTACACTCTTGCCAATACTGTACTTTAAATTTCCTGGACCCCGCATCTTTTCATTGTGTTCAACTGGCCAAGTCACTTTTGGAGGCAGCCAGTTATTGTTTCCTTCCTTGCACCAGATTAGTTTCTTCCTGATTTTATGATTGCCTGCCCTTAATGAAATTTGAACACTGCTCCACAGTTCTATTATGTTCTTGTGATTGGCCTACTTTTCCGCTCACTACAATGACTAATTCAAACCTTCATTTCCTAAACTTCTGAATCTTTCTACCTCTCCATCAAAACAGATGATTTTGTCTCCTGTTTAGGAGACAATGATTAAAAACATTGATACAGGAGACAAAGATTGAAAGCCATTCAAAGGGAACTTCCTCATTTTTGCAATTGCAAATATACAAACCTACTTATATTTATATAGTAATCTTATTCTCTTTTCTTCCTATCACAGTAATAATTATAAAACACTTACTTTATGCCAGTACTTAGTGCTTTACAAAGATCATCTCACGGAAGCGCCACAAAAACCCCTTCAGGTATGTTTGTTTTATAGATGAGAAAACTGAGAAGCAGAGAGGTTAGTGTAATTTCTTCTTGGACTCACTGCTAGACAGTGGCCAAGCCAGGATTTACACATGATCTGATTTCTGAGCCTATACTTTTATTAATGATAATAATAATGGAAAATAAGTCAATAAGGTGCTAAGTAAGCCAAGGTACTCTTCTCTGCCCTATATATAAAATTTGACAGCAGCTCTATGAAGAACTGCTGCCATTATTATTACCATTTTATAGGTGAAGGAAACTAAGCACACAGAGGTTAAGTTCTTCAGAGTCATACAGCAAATAGGTGGAGGGGCTGTTATTTGAACACAGGCAGTCTGGCTCCAGAATCTTATGTCCTGGCTCACTGTGTTCTACCACTTTGATTTTATTACAGCTATATTTTGCCTCTTATCGGAGGCTGAACTCTCCATTCCTCTTTTGTCTCAGGAACTTTTTACTCTTATATCTTTTCTCAGTGTATTATTGATTTCTCTTTCAACACATCTTTCCTTTTTCTCTGAAAAATTCTTAAGTGTCACCCATTTAAAAACTTGGCTTATGAGGCTCTGTATGGTCTAGTGCTGCCTCAGGCTCCACACGCAATCTCCTCCTTTCTCTTTCTCTTACCTTTAGGGCCTTTATGTATGCTTGGCCACAAAACTACTCATTCTTCTGGTCTCAACTCAGTTGTCTTTTCCTCTCTTAGTTCTCCCTCTTTTAGATTCTTTCATCACAGAGTTGCTTTCTTTCCTGTAATACTTGTCACATTTGCAGTTTTACGTTTGTTAATGTGATTATTTGATTAATTTATATTTTTCCCAATAGACCTAGCTTAGTGAGTCAGGGACAGTAGTTTTGTTTATGATTATACACCCCAGAGTCTAGTCTTCAGTAATAACCAAAAAACTGCAAGGGAAAGCATTTATCACCTAACCAAATTAATAAAAAATAAAAAATGAAGTGATTTAGTGTAGGTGAGATACTGATAAAACAGATAAAGAAACTTTTAGTGTCTTCACATAGAAAGTAGTATAGAAAAGGTAAGATTCGGCCAGGCGTGGTGGCTCTCGCCTATAATCCCAGCATTTTGGGAGCCCAACGTTGGTGGATCATGAGGTCAAGAGATTGAGGCATCCTGGCCAACATGGTGAAACCCTATCTCTACTAAAAATACAAAAATTAGCTGGACGTGGTGTTGCAGGCCTGTAGTCCCAGCTACTACGGAGGCTGAGGCAAGAGAATCACTTGAATCCGGGAGGGAGAGCTTGCAGTGAGCTGAGATTGCACCACCGCACTCCAACCTGGCAACAGAGCAAGACTCTGTCTCAAGAAAAAAAAAAAAGGTCAGATTCTCTGGCTAGTCCTGTAAATTTTTTTTTTTTTTTTGAGTCGGAGTTTCACTCTTGTTACCCAGGCTGGGGTGCAATGGCGCGATCTCGGCTCACCGTAACCTCCGCCTCCTGGGTTCAGGCAATTCTCCTGCCTCAGCCTCCTGAGTAGCTGGGATTACAGGCACGCACCGCCATGCCCAGCTAATTTTTGTATTTTTAGTAGAGACGGGGTTTCACCATGTTGACCAGTATGGTCTCGATCTCTTGACCTCGTAATCCACCTGTCTTGGCCTCCCAAAGTGCTGGGATTATAGGCGTGAGCCACTGCGCCCGGCCTCTGTAAATTTTTTTTAACCAAAGTCAGGGGGAAGAAAAAAGTCTGTTCTCAGAGGTGTTCATCACAGAATTAGCTCTAATAACTATAAAAACCCCTGACGTATCACCCATATGTCCAATAATGAAAGAGTAGTCAAGTAAATTAACATTACAATGTCTATGTAGACAGTAGAAAATATTGTCAATATAAAATGAAAAAAGCATAATAGCAGTTGTATTTATACTACATTTGCAACTGGATGAACATAATTATAAATTTGGACAAAAATAGGAAGAAGGAGTATGGTAAGATGAAAAGAATTGCTTTAAAGTTTATGTGTCTTTATTTTTTTAATAATGCATTCTTTGTGATTTTAAAAAGTGTGTTAGTGTTACATATTTTTTGTAACATCACTGTTGTATTTTTCTCTTTTTAGTATGGACCTGTATTTAGTTTTACCATGGTAGGCAAGACATTTACTTACCTTCTGGGGAGTGATGCCGCTGCACTGCTTTTTAATAGTAAAAATGAAGACCTGAATGCAGAAGATGTCTACAGTCGCCTGACAACACCTGTGTTTGGGAAGGGAGTTGCATACGATGTGCCTAATCCAGTAGGTGACACTGTTACCATGAATAAAGACAAATCTATATTTCAGTAGTTATAGCTAATAGTAAGACATTATACATTTAAAATGTAGAGACAGCCGGGCATGGTGGCTCATGCCTGTAGTCCCAGCACTTTGGGAGTCCGAGTTGGGTGGATCACTTGAGGCCAAGAATTCAAGACCAGTCTGGCCAACATGGTGAAACCCCATCTCTATTAAAAGAACAAAAATTAGGCCGGGCGCGGTGGCTCAAGCCTGTAATCCCAGCACTTTGGGAGGCCAAGGCGGGTGGATCACGAGGTCGAGAGATCGAGACCATCCTGGTCAACATGGTGAAACCCCGTCTCTACTAAAAATACAAAAAATTAGCTGGGCATGGCGGTGCATGCCTGTAATCCCAGCTACTCAGGAGGCTGAGGCAGGAGAATTGCTTGAACCCAGGAGGCGGAGGTTGCGGTGAGCCGAGATCGTGCCATTGCACTCCAGCCTGGGTAACAAGAGCGAAACTCCGTCTCAAAAAAAAAAAAAGAACAAAAATTAGCTGGGTGTGGTGGTACACACTTGTAATTCCAGCTACTTGGGAGGGTGAGGCATGAGAATTGCTTGAATTTGGGAGGTGAAGGTTGCAGTGAACCAAGATCACACCATTGCATTTTAGCCTGGGCAACAGAGTGAGACTCTGTCTCAAAAACAACTAAACAAAACCACATACACACACACAAACACACACACACACACAAACAAATATAATAAAATGTAGAAACAGTTTATTCTTTCCTTCAAAAGTGTGAAGAATCATGAGAAGAAAGGTCATGGATAACTGATAAGTAAGGGGTATTTTGTTTTACAGTTGCTGGCATGGGGTAAATAATATTAAATGGTTTCCTGTACTAATAATGGAATCAGTAACTTAGCTTATTGGGATTTAATTTGAAAGGATTAAAAGACAATCCTGTTATTTCTTCAAAAGGGCTTCCTAAACATTCCTGCCTGAAATTCTAACATAAGAGCTGCTTAGACATTGCCAATGTTAAAAGTCCTCTTTTAATGCAACTACTTCAGGTGTGGATATGTCTGTGTGTATGTTTTACCCTCAGAAGCCAAATATGAAATTTTTTTAAGTTGATATAGAACACAAATCAGTCAATTGGCCCCAGTGCTTGGTGTAGGCTCTGGCTGTGAATATAACATACATTAGCCAGTACCTTAGTATAGCAGTTGAGAGTTAACATTAAATGTTGTTTTTAGTGATGGGGATGAGGGAATGAATGGCTCTCCTCAAGGCCAATAAAGAGGGCCCTGGAAAATTCCTCTGCTCAGATATATCTATTCATTTAGACTCTATTCATTTAGAGTCAGATATATCTATTCATTTAGACTCTTCAAATACAAATGCCCAAAGAGTTAAAACCATTAGTTGTGTTAGTGTTACATAGTTATAATAACCAAATGGATTTTATGATGAAACAAAAATGTGTTTTAATGCTGTATGCCCTTTTTGAATTTTTTTGAAGGTTTTCTTGGAGCAGAAGAAAATGTTAAAAAGTGGCCTTAACATAGCCCACTTTAAACAGCATGTTTCTATAATTGAAAAAGAAACAAAGGAATACTTTCAGAGTTGGGGAGAAAGTGGAGAAAAAAGTAAGCAAAATGTTTGTCCTAACATTTCTACTTCTCTGAATAGAAAAATAGAGTATGTAAGTGTGTAGTGAATAGAAAACAAATTACAGTATATGTAAAACTACCTTGGATTTATGGGAGAGATATGTAATAATTCCCCTGAAGTTGTAACTGAGAATCCAGTCTTTATACTGGACTGCAGTTAAGTATTGCCTTTCAGAAGCAATTGCTGTGCCTATAGTAGGAAGTAACATCTGCCCACTGGGCAGCAAGACCAGGGCCGTGGGTCACTACATTTTGGGTCTGGCCTTTGGCCTCTATAAAAGGTCCAGAATCTTTGTTTTCGGAATACTTACGTTGATATGATGTATTTTCTAACCATACAAGGAACTGTTGTGTAAATTAGAATGCCAATGTAATAATGCATGTGGGACAGATAATTACAGAACCAAGAAATTCAGAATATTTACTGTTCTTCTCTTTATTGGCAAATAGAATTAGAAAGCCAAATGATCATTGGAATTACATTTAGGGAGTGTGGAATTAACAGAAAATTAATTGGATAATTTTTATTATTTGAGTGTCATCAAATTATGCTTGCCTGGCGTGTTTGTCTTGTGTTAGGATATGCCAATTGATGATTATAGTTTTTTTTTTTTAAAATATATGGACAGTAATTCCATTTTAATACTGATCTTCCTACTTTTAACCTGGGAAATAATCTGATCTTTGGCTACCATTCCTTGGGAAGTACCCTATTATTGTCATATGCACTGTAAATAACCTTTTTGCTGCTTTTGTTATATGTGACCTGGAAATCGAACAACCACATTTATTCTTTTCATGAAGTGCTCATGAATGAAGTTTTGAGATGTGTTTCTGGCATCTGTTTTGACTGTTCAGAGGGACAGGGTACTTCCCATAGTTTGGTTTATTGCCCCTCTTTCTTCAGTGTTGTGCATAGTTACATGTCTATCTACAGACTTTTTTTTTGGTCATATAAATAGGATCTTATTTGTTCTTGAGTTGTGTTTTTATTTTCAATTTTATTTTACTTTTTGGAACTAGTAATGAGGATAATCTTTTTTTCTCCCTAGATGTGTTTGAAGCTCTTTCTGAGCTCATAATTTTAACAGCTAGCCATTGTTTGCATGGAAAGGAAATCAGAAGTCAACTCAATGAAAAGGTGGCACAGCTATATGCGGATTTGGATGGAGGTTTCAGCCATGCAGCCTGGCTATTACCAGGGTGGCTGCCTTTGCCTAGTTTCAGGTATGGATAAAGAAGATATTACCCTTGGTTATTTAACTTTGTATAATTCTTGTAGTGTTGGTATGCTTTGTCTTAACAAAGATAAAAATTAAACAAGTGAAACATACAAAATGGGTAAGACTATAAACCTGCATTCTTCTTATAAGAATTCAAGACAGGTTTTCTTTATATAGTGAGTTGATTTAAAGTAAGTTTCAGTTTATTAAAAAGGTGATTTGTTGTCTGTCTAGTCAAATATTTTATTTATTTTTTTGTTTTTGTTTTTGAGACAGGGTCTTGCTCTGTTGCCCAGGCTAGAGTGCAGTAGCGTGATCCCGCTCACTGCAGTCTCCACCTCCTGGGTTCAACTGATCCTCCTACTTCAGCCTTTTGAATAGCTGGGACTACAGGCATGTGCCACCATGCCCAAGTAATTTTTGTGTTTTTAGTAGAGACAGAGTTTTGTCATGTTGGCCAGGCTGGTTTCGAACTCTTGACCTCAGATGATCCACATTCCTCAGCCTCCCAAAGTCCTGGGATTACAGGTGTGAGCCACTAAGCCCAGCCTAGTTTAAAGGCCTAATTACCTCACATATTCCTTATCCTCAGGAAAGTCTCTGGACTGTACCTAAAAGTGATATAGCCCTCCTCTAAGCATTTGTTTAAAATCTTTGGTAGCTTTTTATTGTATTGTAAAGTTTCTTTATTTTGAGTATTTGTGCCTTTATTTAATTTTCTGTTCCATTTTTTTTTTTTTTTTTTTTTTTTTGAGATGGAGTCTTGCTCTGTCACCCAGGCTGGAGTGCAGTGGTGCCATCTCGCCTCACTGCAACTTCCACCTCCCAGATTCAAGCGATTCTCCTGCCTCAACCTCCTGAGTATCTGGGATTACAGGTGCACACCACCATGCCCAGCTAATTTTTGTATTTTTAGTAGAGATGGGGTTTCACCGTGTTGGTTAGGCTGGTTGCGAACTCCTAACCTTGTGATCCTTGGCTTCCCAAAGTGCTGGGATTACAAGTGTTAGTCCCCATGTAATTTTCTGTTTCTTAAGGGTTAGGCTAGTTGCGAACTCCTAACCTTGTAATCCTTGGCTTCCCAAAGTGCTGGGATTACAAGCGTGAGTCCCCGCATAATTTTCTGTTTCTTAAGGGGAGGGATTGCCTCTGATATAAAGAAGTATTAGTAGGCTTTCTATACTTTTGTTGGTTCATTTGTGTTTAGGTGTTTAGGTGGACTGCTAGTCCCTTTTCCTTCTATTTCTGCCCTATTTAGTTATAGAAGAGGAGTGGGAGTAAGAGGGAGAGCCAGGAGAGATTCTCTAAAGTTCTCTGGAACTCATCATACTGTATATTTTCAAGGAGCTTTGCAGTTTTAAAATATTTCATATTCATTATATTAGAACATCCAGCATAGTCCTGGGCCCATAGTGGGTTCTCCATAAATGTGCATTTCTACCTACCTGTTTCTATCTGCTCTGTCTCTTGGATAAAGTCAGAATTCTTGAGCTTGTTATGTTAGACGCTTCACATTCTGGCCTAGTCTTTCTTTGTTTTACTTATACCAACTAATTTAACCAGATTACTCCATTCACTTTCTTAAATAGGCCTATGTTTTCCTGGTTCTGCTGTATTCATACTGTTAAGCTTTAACATCTTCTCTTCTGTACATATGGTCTTGGTCAATCCTCAATAACAGACTAACAGTCTTGTAAATGAAACAGGGTAGGAGTTTTTATTAGAAGGCTTGATTTAAGAGGGGGCTTGGGAGTCAGATGGCCTAGTTTTAAATTCCAGCTCCAATGTTTGTTTTCTATGTGATTTTATACAGCTAGCTATAAATTGAGGTTAATAGTATGTACCTCACAGGAACATACAAGTGGGTAATTCATGTAAAACACTTAACATGGTTCCTGCTACATAGTGAACATAGTATTTAAAGGTAAAGTTTAGGAGTTAACCTAAACTTGTTTTCTGAGTCTGCTCGTATTTTTGCCCCCTACAAAAAACTGTTGTATTAGAAAGTGAAAAGTACCAACCTCTTTAAGACTTGATTTGGTATTAAAAAAGGAATTTCATGTTAGTTTAAAAGATTATTCTACTTTCTGTTGAACTGGAAAATTTCTAAAGGAATTTCTTGCTTGTTTTAGGCCTACAGTTTGAATACAGGTAATGCGTTAAGAATCTGGGACATATATGTTAGCTAAAGCATAGTTCTTGCCCTTAGGGACTATGAATATTTTTAACAATGTAAGAGTTTAATGACTTCTAATATTTTCCTGTTTCTGATTTTTGTCAATTATTTTAGTCATTAGAGTTAGTTAAGTTAGTTGAATAAGGTGCCTTATCCTAGGTCCTGGTTTTCAAAATGAATTTGATCCGAGAATGTGTTTATTTAAAAAATCCTCTTTATCTTTTAATTACAGACGCAGGGACAGAGCTCATCGGAAAATAAAGAATATTTTCTACAAGGTAATCCAGAAACGCAGACAGTCTGAAGAAAAAATTGATGACATTCTCCAAACTTTACTAGATTCTACCTACAAGTAAGAGCTATTCAGATAACATATTAAGCTGAAGCAGGAAATGATACATTAAAACACAAATAATATTTCCCATTAAAAAACAGTGATGCTGGCAAAATAAGTGTTTTGATCTTTGGACTTTTTAAATTGTTGAAACATAAACTATTGACATCCTTTGTCTTACTGTAATCCCAGTGACTGGGTATGGTGAACGTTTGCTAATGAACTGTAATGGAGTCTTGTAATCAAAATTGTTTTCTACTGGTTTGTCTCTTCCATAAGAGAAAAAAAAACCTCTGACTTGTGATAAACAAATATAAGAGACTATTATACTTGAAAAATATATTCATGATGACACTTTATTTAAAGGTTGAGGCATAAAATGTATCTGCCAAAATGTTAAATTTGTGTGTTTGGTTCATTCCTTAGGGACGGGCGTCCTTTAACCGATGATGAAGTAGCAGGGATGCTTATCGGACTGCTCTTGGCAGGGCAGCATACATCCTCAACTACTAGTGCTTGGATGGGCTTCTTTTTGGCCAGAGACAAAACACTTCAAGAAAAATGTTATTTAGAACAGAAAACAGTCTGTGGAGAGGATCTGCCTCCTTTAACTTATGACCAGGTTTGTCAGATTTTTCAGTTTCATTGCTGCCTTCTGACTTTGAGTACCTGTGGCTAATTTTTAAAAGGGACAATTTGAGATTTCTGTATACTGTAGCTTCAACTGATCAGCTTCTCTATTTTTAGCAAATTCTCTATGACCTTACCCAAAATATGTTAATGTTATTGCTTCTTACTAAGCTTTATCGGATATGTTTTGGGTTGAAACCTTAGAGATCCTTGGAGATGTTTCTTTACTTATTTTCTCTAGTTCAAAGTCTGGCTTCTTTGAAAGCCAGTAGATAGAGGATATTATGTGCATGTTATGTGTCTTACGAAGTGTAGAAACCTCTCAATTACCTATAATTCTACATGTCTAGAGTGGCCCGTGCATAAGCAGAGACTTCTAAAAGTAGTAGTAGTAATAATGAGGACTAGACATTTACAAACACTACACGCAGCTTGCTGGGTGGAAAGGAAGAGAGGAGAACTCACTGCCCAAGCTGACATTCGATTTTGGAAGCAAACCTAGGTTATATCCTCTTCCTGTTATCTTTTGTGTTTTTTGGTCCTTTATTAATATGGTATATTACACTGATTTTTTAGATGTAAATTATATTCCTGGGATATATCTTACTTTGTCATGGTGATTAGTTCTCTTTATATGTTATTGCATTCTGTTTGCTGGTGTTTTGTTGAGGATTTTTGCATCTATATTCGTAAGAAATATTGATCTCTTTCATTGTCATGTCTTTGGTTTTGATATCAGGATCATACTGGTCTCACAGAATGAATTTGGAAGTGTTCTTTTTTCTTTTTTTTTGAAGAGTTTGTGGATGATTGGTGTTAATCCTTTTTTATATATTTGCTAATATTCAACAGTGAAAACATCTATGTCTGTGCTTTTCTTTTCTTTCTTTTTTTTTTTTTTAATAAAAATGATCCATGTGTTCAATGCACAAATTTTCTCTCAAACAGCAGGGTAAGTGGACCCAGGAATTCTCATATACCGTAACAGAAAGAAGAAACAGTACTTTCAGAGAATTATCTTTAAGCAAAGAAATTCAAACTGTAATATACTATACATAAATACATACGTAAAAAGCCTAAAAACCAAGCTGTGACAGGGACCTATGACTGAAAGAAAATTTGAGAAAAGCTTAAAAGCATTTGTTTCCTGTGATCTCGACACATAATTTTAGGAGCAGAGATTTCTGCACTGAACTGTTACGACTAAAAACACCCAAAACCTTACTTAATGGCATTCTGTGTAATGGCGCTGATATCCTTGGTGTATTAATTTTTTGACTTATTTCCTTTTTCTTTTTCAAATTCAGCTATCTGATTGAATATATTGATTAAGTTCTGAGGTAAATTTTTTTTTTTTTTTTTTTTTTTGAGACGGAGTTTCGCTCTTGTTACCCAGGCTGGAGTGCAATGGCACGAGCTCGGCTCACCGCAACCTCCGCCTCCTGGGTTCAGGCAATTCTCCTGCCTCAGCCTCCTGAGTAGCTGGGATTATAGGCACGCGCCACCATGCCCAGCTAATTTTTTTTTTTTTTGTATTTTTAGTAGAGACGGGGTTTCACCATGTTGACCATGATGGTCTTGATCTCTTGACCTCGTGATCCACCCGCCTCAGCCTCCCAAAGCGCTGGGATTACAGGCTTGAGCCACCGCGCCCGGCTGAGGTAAATTTTTTTTAACACTGCCTTCTGAGTGTCCTTTGCTACTGAACGCAGCTTCCTCTGGAACCTCTGTTCTGCCGTCCTGCCCACAATTGTCCTCTCTGTCATCCTCTCCCTGACTTGCATTTAACCGGTATCTTTGCTCATGTCTACTGAAATCACGTGATCCAGAGGGAGTATGCTTTCTGTATTTCTCACCTGACTTCCAAGAGGAGTATGAGCTTGCCGGTGAGGTAGAATGCCTCACAGAACCTGGTTCCCACCTTCTATAGTGCTCCTTTCTTCCTTCTATATCCTTTTCAAATCTCCTGTAACCATATATCTTGTCCTCTGAATTCCTACAGAAAAAATCTGAGGAATTTCTTCTACTAGAAAAATGTCTTTCTGATTTATATGGCTTTTCTGTTTTGCTACTACCTGCTTGGGTTTTATAGCTATTATAAAAACCTCTTGGATCTTCAGACCTACCTCCAAAATCATCCGGTATTTCAAGTGAAGATGAAGAGAGAGGGCATCTATCTTTCTCTTTGATCTGTGTCTTTTCACACTGCAACCTAGCCTGCTTTCCCAGGAGTTTCTCCACTTCTTGTTTATGGCTAAGAAACGACGCTGAAGTATTAGCTGGAACTGGGTAGCACTCATCTTTCCTATTCTGATCTATCTGAGTTGAGGATGCCCTAGATGAATGCCTTCTGGAACTTCGAGAAGACTCTGAATGGTTCCTCTTATGTTTCTTATGCCTTTTGTGACCAGAAGACGAAGAGGATGTTGATGAAGACACTGACTCATCAGCAGAAGAAACACTTGAAGAGGAAGAAGTTGATTTTCTTCTTTTCTTCTTTAGCCTCTTAAGAGCTTACGCAATTTTTCTGCACTTGTTTCTATTTTCTTTGTTTTCTGCTTTTCTTCCTTTTCAGCTTGTTTTTCTCTTAATTCCAAAGATTTCTGCATATATTTATGAAGCTTCTGCAAAGCATCCTCTGCATCTTTAAAACTCTCATCCAAAGCCAAAGCTTTCTTATAGTAACTTTCGGCATTTAAAAACTTTTCTTCTTCTTCTAACTGCCCTCCTCTCTCTACAAGTGTCTGGCAGAGGTATTTTCTAGCATTTCTGTGAGTTGGACAGTTTTCCAATGCAAGCTCAAAATCTTCTATTGCTTTGTTCAGACTTCCTTTTGTTGCATATAATGCTCCACGGGCTACTAAAGCTTCCACATTTTGTTTGTCTATTTCCAGAGCTTTGTTGTATTCATTCATGGCATCCACATGGCGTCCAACTTTAAAATAATCAACTCCAATCTTCACACATTTTAAAGCCCAAGATGCAGATTTTTTCTCAATGCAGAAGCAAAATCATCTTCAGAGAAATTTTTGCTTTGTAGGCCTCTCATTAAAGATGGTGGATTTGATTCATCTATTCCTAGTTTTTCTAGAAGGAATTCAACTACTCCTGGATTAACAAATCCCAAGGAATTCTGCATGATACTTTCATAGGACTCCAAAGAATTGCTATTTAGTTCAACACTTCTCCTGTAGTACAAAGGAAGCTCTTCAGAGCTAATTACGCCTAATTTAATACCAGATAGGTGTGGTGGGAGAGAAGAGCTATACAGAGATACTGCTAGCTTTTCATGGTATCTGTCAATATCCTTGATTCCAGCTCGAATGATGTCACCAGTTTGGTAATATGATAAAGGATCCCCATGGTTACTGTGAGAAGGCACATCTCTTTTTTTTTTTTTTTTTGTTTTTTTTGTTTTTTGAGACGGAGTTTCGCTCTTGTTACCCAGGCTGGAGTGCAATGGCGCGATCTCGGCTCACCGCAACCTCCGCCTCCTGGGTTCAGGCAATTCTCCTGCCTCAGCCTCCTGAGTAGCTGGGATTACAGGCACGCACCACCATGCCCAGCTATTTTTTTTGTATTTTTAGTAGAGACGGGGTTTCACCATGTTGACCAGGATGGTCTCGATCTCTTGACCTTGTGATCCACCCGCCTCGGCCTCCCAAAGTGCTGGGATTACAGGCTTGAGCCACCGCGCCCGGCCGAGAAGGCACATCTCTTAAGGGACAAAGAGCTGTGATTTCTAAGTGGGATATATCTCTCATGATACCACTTCCTAAACAGATCAACACCATGAAAATACCGAATTCCCGAATGGAACTAATTCTTCCAATCACTATATCACCACGCTCAATATCTCGGAAAAACAGCTCTCTCCGGTCCACACTAGGTATCTCCATGAATTGCTCTAAAGGTGGCATGACTGCATAGTGATCTTCACTGTCTTCGTTAATTTCACAAGTTGCAGGTGCATCTGATTTCCAGGAGACGGCAAAAAGCAGATCCGCTTTTTTGGAGATGAATTTCTGTATCTCAATGTTGTCAACTCTCTTCTCTTTCCCTGCGACGCCTGCTGCGCCGGCGGGCCCCGGGCTGGCTCAGCGGCCGACCCCAGGAGGCTCCGGAAGTGCGGGTTGTCCTGCTGCTCGCTCCGCAGCAACGAGAGCAAAGACGACCCGTGGCAATTCAGTGACTGCCGCAGAAGGTCACGGTCCATGGCCGGGGACCGCGGGCCCGGCGGCCGACGCGCTGACCGCCCCGGGTTCCGCGTCAGCTCCCTGCCGTCTGTGCTTTTCTTTGTGGGAAGACTGTGCTTACCAATTCAATTTATTTGTTACAAGTTTCTTCATTCCATTTCTTTTTATGTCAGTTTCAGTAGTTTATCTCTCTCTCTTTTTTTGTTTTTTCCAAAAACTCCAGAGAATATACCAAGTAAAAGTAGTTTATATCTCTCTAGGAATTTGTCCATTTCATCTAGATTACCTAATTTGTTGGCAATGAGGCAATTGTTCTTAGTATTCTCGTAATCCTTTTTTATTTCTGTAAGCTCAGTAGTGATGTCTCAACACTCATTCTTGTTTTTAGTAACTTAAAAAATAACAGCTTAATTGATATATTTACAAACCATAAATCCATCCATTTAAAATGTACACTTTGTGGTTTTTAGCATATTCAGAGTTGGGAAACCATCATCATAATTTAATTTCAGAACCTTTACATCACTCCCAAAAGAGAGCCAGTACCCATTAGCAGTCATGCTTCATTCTTCCTGACCCCTGCCCCTGGAAAACATTAATCTCCTTTTTGCCTATATGAGTTTGTCTATTCTGGATATTTTATATAAATGGGATCATATAATATGTAGTCTTTTGTGACTAGCTTGTTTCACTTAGCATGTTATCAGGGTTCATCTGTGTTGTAGCATGTATCAGTACTTCAGTCATTGTTATTACTAATAATCCATTATATGGATTTACCACATTTTGTTTATCTGTTCATCAGTTGATGGACATTTGGATTGTTTTTACCTTTTCAAGTATTATGCATAATGCTGCTCTAAACATTTGTATACTGATTTTATGTGGACATGTGTTTTAAATTTTGGGGGGTCATACCTAGGAGGAGAATTGCTGGGTCATATGGTAACTTTGAAGAACTGCCAGACTGTTTTTAAAAGTGGCTGCACCACTTTCAAATCTCACTAAATAGTATATGTTGGTCCTGACTTCTCCACAACATCACCAAACTTGTTACTTGATTTTTTTTTTGAGATGGAGTCTCCCTGCCCAGGCTCGAGTGCAACAGCATGATCTCGGCTTACTGCAACCTCTACTTCCCAGGTTTAAGCAATTCTTTTGTCTCAGCCTCCCAAGTAGCTGGGACTACAGGTGCATGCCACCACACCTGGCTAATTTTTACATTTTTGGTAGAGATGAAGTTTCATCATGTTGGCCAGGCTGGTCTCGAACTCCTGACCTCAAGTGATCTGCCTGCCTTGGCCTTCCCAGCTGCTGGGATTACAGGTGTGAGCCACTGTGCCCAGCCAGTATCTTGTTTTGATTTTGTATTTTCCTGCTGACTAATGATGTAGAGTGTCTTATGATGTGCTCTTTGGCTTTGGTATATCTTCTTTAGAGAAATGTCTGCTCACATCCTGTTCCCTTTTATTTTTTTTTGAGACAGAGTCTCGCTCTGTTGCCCAGGCTGGAGTGCAGTGGTGTAATCTTGGCTCACTGCAACCTCCATCCTCTGGGTTCATGCCATTCTGCTGGCTTAACCTGAGTAGCTGGGATTACAGGCTCACGCCACCATGCCCAGCTAATTTTTGTATTTTTAGTAAAGACGGGGTGTCACCATATTGGTCAGGCTGGTCTTGAACTCCTGACCTTGTGATCTGCCCGCCTCAGCCTCCCAAAGTGCTGGGATTACAGGCTTGAGCCACTGCGCCCAGCCTTGTTCCCATTTTTTTTTTTTTTTTTTTTTCCGAGACGGAGTTTCGCTCTTGCTACTACCTAGGCTGGAGTGCAATGGTGCGATCTCGGCTCACTGCAACCTCCGCCTCCTGGGTTCAGGCAGTTCTCCTGCCTCAGCCTCCTGAGTAGCTGGGATTACAGGCACGCGCCACCATGCCCAGCTAATTTTTGTATTTTTAGTAGAGATGGGGTTTCACCATGTTGACCAGGATGGTCTCGATCTCTTGACCTCGTGATCCACCCGCCTCGGCCTCTGAAAGTGCTGGGATAACAGGCTTGAGCCACCGCGCCCGGCCTTCTTGTTCCCATTTTTAAAGTGAGTTGTCTTTTTATTATTGAGTTGTAAGCATTCATGTATTTTTGTGTGTGTGTGTGTTTTTGGTGTCAGAGCAACCAATGCCCTATCAAAGTATATGAAGATTTATTTCTGTGTTTTCTTCTTAGTGTTTTAGTTTCATATCTTACATTTAGGTCTTTGGTCCATTTTGAATTAATTTATGTATATGGTGTGAGGTCATCATTATTTTGCATGTGGTTATTCAGTTGTCCCACACTGTTTGTTGAAAAGACAATTTTTCTGCATTGAATTGTCTTTGTAAAAAAAATCTATTATAAGGCCGGGCGCGGTGGCTCAAGCCTGTAATCCCAGCACTTTGGGAGGCCGAGATGGGTGGATCACGAGGTCGAGAGATCGAGACCAACTTGGTCAACATGGTGAAACCCCGTCTCTACTAAAAATACAAAAAATTAGCTGGGCATGGTGGTGCGTGCCTATAATCCCAGCTACTCAGGAGGCTGAGGCAGGAGAATTGCCTGAACCCAGGAGGCGGAGGTTGCGGTGAGCCGAGATCGCGCCATTGCACTCCAGCCTGGGTAACAAGAGCGAAACTCCGTCTCAAAAAAAAAAAAAAAAAAAATCTATTATAGCCAGGTGCAGTGGAACATACCAGTATTCTCAGCTACTTGGGAGGCTGAGATGGGAAGGTAGCTTGAGCCCAGGTTTTGGGATCCAGCTTGGGGAACATAGCAAGACCCTGTCTCTTAAAAAGTAAATAAATTTTAAAAAGCCACTTGACCATAAATTTAAGGCTTTATTTCTGGACTCCATTCTGTTCCATTGATATATTTAGTCTGATGCCATTGCAGTAGTTTTGTAATAATTTTTGAATTCGGGAGTGTGAGTCCTCTGACTTTGTCCTTTTCGGGACAAAGTGTTTAGCTAGTCCTATTCCCTTTAATTTCCATATGAATTTTGGGGTCAGTTTGTTAATTTCTGCAAAGAAGCTCTCTGAGATTTTTGACAATGATTGTAGTGTATCTCTATCAATTTGGGAGCATTGCTATCTTAATTTTAGGCTTTAAATCTATGAACATGGATGCCTTTCTATTATTTTAGTTCTTTTTTTTTTTTTTTTTGAGACGGAGTTTCGCTCTTGTTACCCAGGCTGGAGTGCAATGGCACGATCTCGGCTCACTGCAACCTCTGCCTCCTGGGTTCAGGCAATTCTCCTGCCTCAGCCTCCTGAGTAGCTGGGATTACAGGCACGTGCCACCATGCCCAGCTGATTTTTTGTATTTTTAGTAGAGACGGGGTTTCACCATGTTGACCAGGATGGTCTCGATCTCTTGACCTCGTGATCCACCCGCCTCGGCCTCCCAAAGTGCTGGGATTAAAAGCTTGAGCCACCGCGCCCGGCCTATTTTAGTTCTTAAATTTTTTTCAGCAATGTTTTATAGTTTTTAGTGCACAATAGTTAAACGTCTCTTGTTAAATGTATTTTTAAGTGTTTTATTATTTTATTTATATGATGTTTTCTTTCCTCTGCCAGTTCAAACCTGCTGTTGATCCCCTCAGGTGAATTTTTCATTTCAGTTTTTATACTTCTCAATTCCCAAATTTCTATTTGGTTCTCTAAAAACAAAAAAAATCTATTGATATTCTCTTATTTGGTGAGGCCTTGTTTTATATTTTGATCCTTTAAGTATATTTTACTATATTTCTTTGACCCTATTTATACTAGCTGATTTAAATTCTTTATCTAGTAAGTCCAGTGTCTGGGCTTCTTCATGGATTGTTTATATTAAACTGCTTTCTTTTTCTATGTACGAACCATACTTTCCTATTTTGGTGTGATTTTTGTATTTTTTTTTATTGAAAACTGTACATTTGAAATAATGTGGCAACTGTGGAAATCAGATGCTCTCCTCCCTGGGTTTATTGTTACTGGCTTTTTGTTGTTGTTATTGTTGCTGCTGCTGCTGTTTGTTTACTGACTTTTCACGGTGAATTACGTAATTCTTCATCCAGTGAGGTCACTGAAATCTCTGCTTGCTTATTTTAGTGGGCATCTAATATTAGGACAGAGATTTATTGAAGTGCTTTGAACAGCCAGTCTCCTAGCTTTTGCTGAAAGGCTGTGTGTGTGTGTGTGTGTGTGTGTGTGTGTTACTAACACTCCAACAGGCAGTTACAAGTCTGCTTTCACTACTTGTGTGTGCAGGTCAGCCAGAGGTGAAAGATTAGAGCCTTCTCAGATCTTACCTGGGCATATACATGGTCTTATACATATGTGTGGCCTTCAAGATATCCTTATGTTAGAACTTTTCAAAGTCTCCTGTGGACATCTCATTCCCCAATTTTCCCTTTTAAACTTCTTCTTCTGTCTCTTGTTAGCATCAATTGATACCACCACCTCAGGTGCCTTCAGTGTTAAACAGTTTTTGCTAATTATTTTTGGAAAATTTGCTCTGGCTCCTCTAATAGTTGTTAGGCTTCTGGCTTTCACAGCTACTGTAGTTGTCATGCTGTTGGTTTCTGGGGTTAACATGGATTTAGGGAGAGGAGGATGAGAGAAATACAACTTAGACTACCACAAAGCGTAGTCTTCTTACCAAGCTTCAGATTTCTTTTTCTTGAATTAACTCTCCTTAGATTGTTACAAGCCTTTCGTTAATCTTCCAGAATTTTGAAAAAGTTGGCATTGAGATTTTTGCTAATGCTTTCATTTTTTGGAGGACTAAATTTTTGTAGGTTCTTACTTCATTCTTCAGAATGATCACCTCTCTTTCTGCTATCTTGCCCTCCTTTTTCACCATGGACAGTGGTAGAGCATGATAATCCCAGCCACCCTGAACCAGTTACCTCTGTACTTTTAGCTGGAATACAAGCTGTCTTGTACTAAGAAAGAAGTTAAATTAATTTTTTGTATGTTGAATTATGTTATTTATAACTATCAGGAAATACTTTCTCATTTTAGCTCAAGGATCTAAATTTACTTGATCGCTGTATAAAAGAAACATTAAGACTTAGACCTCCTATAATGACCATGATGAGAATGGCTAAAACTCCTCAGGTGAGTATCTTGGCTACATCTTCCCCCTTATACTCCCAGTTTTTATTTATCAAAAAGAGGAAATACCTGGGTGTGGTTTACACCTGTAATCTCAACACTTTTGGAGGCTGAGGTGGGAGGATCACTTGAGCTCAGAATTTGAAACCAGCCTGGGCAACAGAGTGAGACTGACCTTATCTCTACAAACATTTTTTAAAAAAAATTAGCTGGCCATAGTGGCATGTGCCCCTGTGGTCCCAGCTACACAAGAGGCTGACGTGGGTAGATTGCTTGAGCCTGGGAGGTTGAAACTGCAGTGATCCATGATCATTCTACTGCACTGCTGCCTGGGCAACAAAGTAAGACCCTGTCTCAAAAAAAAAAAAAGATATTTTTTTAAATTAAAAAATATATAACTTCTATAGAATCATCAGTCTTACACATTCTAAATAGATACTTTCACATAATGGTAAATCGTAGACATGAAATTTTTTTGTGTGTGTGACGGAGTTTCGCTCTTGTTACCCAGGCTGGAGTGCAATGGCGCCATCTCGGCTCACCGCAACCTCCGCCTCCTGGGTTCAGGCAATTCTCCTGCCTCAGCCTCCCGAGTAGCTGGGACTACAGGCATGTGCCACCATGCCCAGCTAATTTTTGTATTTTTAGTAGAGACGGGGTTTCACCATGTTGACCAGGATGGTCTCCATCTCTTGACCTCGTGATCCACCTGTCTCGGCCTCCCAAAGTGCTGGGATTACAGGCTTGAGCCACCGCGCCCGGCCTGACATGGTAATTTTTAATGCTAATCATTCTCTGCATTTTCCTTTAACAATTGGGCTTTTAAGAATGAGAGTATATATTTTTCTTGGTTTTAAAAATAACATTTTGTTGCAAAAAATTGTTCATGTGAAGTGTACAAATTGGATAGTGAAAGCCTCCCTGAAATTCCAACCCTACCTCGAAAGCATTATGGGTTTGTGTGCTGTGTACTTCCAACCCAGCGCTGGCTCACTGGAAATCATCCTGAGTTAAAATAATTTTTAGTTTGCCTATTATCTAGCTAGTTTTTAAATATATTTACAGATGGTCCTTGACTTATGATGATTCAACTTACAATTTTTTGACTTTATGATGGATTTATCCGGATGTAAACCTATCATAAGTCAAGGAACATCCGAGTATCCCATGCATATTAATGGTTTATTACACAATGATCCGATTATTTGGCAGCACATTTTAAAATTCTCTAATGAAATATGTGGCTTTTGTTTATAGACTGTGGCAGGGTATACCATTCCTCCAGGACATCAGGTGTGTGTTTCTCCCACTGTCAATCAAAGACTTAAGGACTCATGGGTAGAACGTTTGGACTTTAATCCTGATCGCTACTTACAGGATAACCCAGCATCAGGAGAAAAGTTTGCCTATGTGCCGTTTGGAGCTGGTAAGATGATTATATTTTAGATTGGAAGTTATTTGTTCTGTTAACATATTTGTCTCTATGAAAATATTCCATATAATTATATTTACAGATTCTCTCTCCATTTTCCATAGGGACATTTTTATAAACTTTTATAAGAGTAGAATATTCGTAAGTTAGAGAAAAATATTTCCTTTGTACTAAATGGAATTGTTCCATGAATCCCTATATAATGCTTCATTATCTCCTAACGTGTCTAGTTTTATTAGGTCTAATTTTCATAGTCCACCCTTGTATTCCCTTATAACAGTATTTAAAGCTCTCTGTGAATTCTCTTTTAAAGAATGATTGGGGTCAGCACACCATTCAGGGAAGTATTTTTGGTTAAATATCATAAAAGATTACTAATATTTCATAAAAGAGTAACGGTGGTCTTTTAAAATTAAAGCTCTTCTGGATTGTTAGTCAACATTTTGACTCTCTCTGAGTATCCCTATGATAAAATGTCTTTAAATTTGGGCAGGTTGTGTGTAGGCTTGCAAATTTCATTTCCAAGATCCTAAAATAATTTAGGTATATCCTTGTTTCTCCAGTAATTTTTCTATCCATTGGTTCTCTGTACTGATTAAACTCTATTCTATGACTTTAGTCTTTCCAAAGGGATCATTTAGATGACAGATGACTTGTCATTGGTCACACTTTTTCCACATATAAAGTATAAAATCCTTTAGGAACTTAAGATCTTAACTTTATTTACTAAATTTAATACTGTGGTATATAACATAGTATATAAAAGAGTCATAGTTTTCATTTATTTATTTATTTTTTGAGATAGAGTCTTGCTCTGTTACCCAGGCTGGAGTGCAGTGGCACAATATCTCAGCTCACTGCAAACTCCACCTCTGGGTTCAAGTGATTCAGCCTCAGCCTCCTGAGTAGCTGGGATTATAGGTGTGTACCACCATGCTCAGCTAATTTTTGTATTTTTTTTAAAGACTGGGTTTCACCATGTTGGCCAGGCTAGTCTCGAACTCCTGGCTCAAGCGATCTGCCCATTTCAGCCTCCCAAAGTACTGGGATTACAGGTGTGAGCCATGTTGCCTGGCCAAAGAATCATAGATTGTCAATAGATGGGAAGAGTATTCGTTCTGTAGTCCAAATTCTGCCTCAAAGAGGAATCATTTCTAAACTAGTAATTATCTGGTTTCCACTTGAGCTTTACTAGAAATGGGTTGCAGTTGCAGGTTGTTCAGTTACCTTATATGATAGTTCATTCCATTTTTGGACAGCTGTCATTTTTAGAACTTTATATTAAAGCCCAAAGCTGTTTCCTTTTAACATCCCATTTATAGTTGGTCCTAATAGTCTCTGAACTTATATTGTATAAGATATTTGAGTACAGATATAATGTCTCCTCAATCTTTTTTTCAATCTATTTGTCAGTTTCCTAGGGATTCTGTAACTAATTACCACATATGAGTGGCTTAAAACAATAGTAATTTATTCTCTCAGTTTTGGAGGCTGAAAGTATGAAATCAAGGTATTGGCAGGATTGTGCTCGTCCTTAAGGCTCTACAAGGGGAATCCTTCCCTGCATCTTCTAGCTTCTGGTGGCTCTTGTAATCCTTGGCTTGTAACTACATCACTCCAGACACTACCTCTGTCTTCAATAGGCTTTCTTCTTGTTCACATCTCTGTATCTTCATGTGGCCTTCTTATAAGGACACCAGTCATTGGATCTAAGGCCTACCCTAACTCAGGGTGATCTCATCTTAAATAATTACACATAGAAAGATCTTATTTTCCAGGAAGATCACATTCTGAGGTTCTGGATGAACTTGAATTTGTAGGGGGAGGGATATATGATCATCATGTTAATCTTGTTAAATATCACATTAAATGTCTCTGTCTTTTTTACTCATTCTTTTACTTAGTAATTGTACTTATTTATGTTGGTGCATATAGTTCATTTTCATAATACTGCATTTTGTAAATCATTAGAATTTATCTATTTTTCTGTTGATTCAGTTAGGATACTTCCTGCTTATTATGTTTAAATCCTTTGACTATTCTTCTTGTAAGCCAAGCTTCTCTTTAGTTGTTATGATTGAAATATGGACTAATTTATAAATGCTCATCTTAAATGTCATTCCTAGAAATAAGTACAGTTATGAGTCAAGCAAGCACTGTGCGAAGTACTCAGTATCAGTTTTTTTTTTTTTTTTTTTGGATGAAAAATCTTGCAACAAAATGCCCAAATCTTAAGTCAACATTCATTGAGTTTTGACAAATGAATATCCTTTAGTTAAGTCTGATTTATCAGGCTTTTAAATGGTTTGCTTTCTGGCCCTATCTTAAAATCTTTGCTTCGCCCCCAAGTCATAAATATATTCTCCTGTTCTTCTTTACTAAAATTTGATGGTGTTTGGATATCCTAGGTCCTTTGCATTTTCATATGTATTTTAGAATCAGTTTGTCAGTTTCTACATGTATGTGACTTTCTAGTATGTGTATTATTTTGGGTTCATTAAATTTAATTTCTTCCATAATCATTTATAACGGCATTTGAAGTTTTGACTGGAAGGTTCTCATATTGACATTTAACTAGGGCCCTCTTGGGATGGAAGCAGAATATTCTAGTACTATATTCCCAAACTAGATTACCATCTTATGATTCAAACTTTCCGTATATTTAACCCAGATACATATTTTCAGAAAAAGTAATTGAAAAAGTTATGTGATTAGCCAGGGACTGTTTTCCTAAACTGTGATAATTGAAAATCTGGAATTTTTAATAATTCACATTGTTTTATGAGAAAAGAATATCATCTTTTCATTATACTATCTGTACATTTGCTGTTCATCTAAAATGTAGATAAACAAATATTACCACCTCAGGCTAAAAAGGATAAAAAAGAATTTAAACTGATTCTTCTGACTTTTTTTTAGGGCGTCATCGTTGTATTGGGGAAAATTTTGCCTATGTTCAAATTAAGACAATTTGGTCCACTATGCTTCGTTTATATGAATTTGATCTCATTGATGGATACTTTCCCACTGTGAATTATACGACTATGATTCACACCCCTGAAAACCCAGTTATCCGTTACAAACGAAGATCAAAATGAAAAAGGCTACAAGGAACTAATATATGTGATCATCACTGTAAGCCACAAAACCATTCGAAGAGAATGAAGTGCATAAAACAATTCTTGTGGTGTACTGTTTTTTTGAGTAATTCTAAAAGCCAATTTATCATTTAGTATTTTGTTAACTGAATGGTTCTATCAAATGTAATAGCATTTGAAACATTTTCTAATAGTTATGAAACTTATACACGTGTGCTTTCAGGAAGTTTATTAGCAAAACAATTGTTCAGGGGGATCTAAGGAATTGGCAGATTCTAAGTAATGTAATTTCCAGGTAGTAATTTTATGAGTACACATAGCTCTCGGCAGATAAGTTTAGGGTATTCAAATCTTGGACTAATCCTGCAAGGCATAAAGAATAAAAATTCCAATGAGATACTTGGAAACCACAGGTTATTATTTATCTGGGCAATTATTGTGTGTGTGAGGATGGAGGGGTAGGGAATAAACGAACATCTAAAGTCTTGAATAAGAGAATACTAATTGTTTTGGTATGATGATAGAAATGGAGATGTTATAGAAAAAAATATATATACTTTGGGATTTTAACTAAAATCACTGCATATAGGAAATTAAGAGATGTAGGACCATATTTGATAAGATTTCCTAAAAGTATTCTTAATGCTAAAGACTGCTCATGTATTTTGATCTAATCACTAAATATTACATATTTACCTATCTGATAAAATATGTATCTAGTTCTACAAGGTCACATTTATGTGGAAGTCCAAAGTCAAATCCTTAGGGGATAATTTTATTTCTCTTTGGCTCAGGTTGTTTCTGCTTCCTCTCTAGAATCCAGTTAGGGATGTTTGTTACTACTTATGTTGATTAAAACAGCTAATAAACTTTTTTCTTTTTAAATATAAAATGTGAGATCAGTGAATTCTGGCTTTAAGATAATCTGAAACAAGGTCCTTTGGAGTAATTGGTCACTTTCTGTTAAGCACATTCTGTTGAGGAATCAACTTATCTCAAATTGTAACTGGAAGCCTAATTATATGAGATGGCTGAAAAAAGACCACATAGTCCGTTTTCACTCGAGTATGCCAAAATATTTTTCCTTATGTATATTACAATTCTTTTTAAAAGGCTGGAAGACTTATGTTAAACTCTAATTGTGAAGGCAGAATTTCTGCTTATAATTTTTCACATTAAAATTCTCTTTAAAAAAATACAGTCTGTATTCATGAATTGTAAAGTATGTGCTTCATTGAGCATTGTCAGGGAATCTAGGAACTTGGGTGGGGAAAATTACATTTTATTTGCACTAATTTTTTTTTTTTTTTTTTTTTTTTTTTCCCCTGAGATGGAGTCTCACTCTGTTGTCAGGCTGGACTGCAGTGGCGCAATCTTGGCTCACTGCAGCCTCTGCCTCCCGGGTTCAAGTGATTCTCCTGCCTCAGCCTCCCGAGTAGCTGGGACTATAGGTGCCCACCACCACGTCTGGCCAATTTTTGTATTTTAGTAGAGATGGGGTTTCACCATGTTGGCCAGGATGGTCTTGATCTCCTGACCTCGTGATCTGCCTGCCTTGGCCTCCCAAAGTGCTGGGATTACAGGTGTGAGCCACCGCACCTGGCCTATTTGCACCAATTTCCAATTGCAATTTAGTGTTTATTTCATTTATGAATTTGGGCAGCATACCACACTAGTATTAGCAGTACATGACTTTGTCAATAGAAATCTCAGATATTTTCATATTACAGATGTTATAGATTTCTTGAAGTATCTAGTTACAAACTGAGATAAGGCTAGTCTGTTTAGTGAATAGTATTAGACTTAACAGATTTCATTTTTAATCACAGACTAATTATTGAGAAGCAAAAACAAGTGTGATTGCAGAGGCCTAATATCATAAGGAGGCTTGGTGGTCAAACAATGGCAGTGAACTCATCTTGATCAGATCATTTGTCCATCTGTTCTTTTCTCCACTGTCTCCTAGAGCAGAATGGCCTTGAATGGCAAGCCATGCTAGCTGAAAAAGGTTTTTACCCATAACCTGTGCTTTCAACTAACTGCTTTAGAGTATGCTTGCTATTTCTAGAATTCCTCTCATTGAAACCCAGCTTCTAATGTGGAAAATTTAAGTACAGTTTGCCCCCTATATTTTTGGGTTTTGCATACTCTGATTCAACCAACTGTAGGTTCAAAATATTAAAAATAAAACCCCACAATAATAAAAAGAATACACTATTAGCAACTATTTATATAATGTTCACACTGTATTAGGTTGATCATAAATAATCTGGAGATGATTTAAAGCACACAGGAAGATGTGTGTAGATTATTTGCAAATAGTACACTGTTTTATAAGAGACTTAAGCATTTGCAAATTGTAGTGTCCAAGGGAGATCCTAGAACTAATCCCCAACACATGCCAAGGAATGACTGAAATTAGAAATTTTCAAGAATGTACAACTTTCTACCATGCTTGTTTGTGTTGGTGTAAATCATGGAACATCAAATAATAAGACAAAATCCTCCAGATGTAAGCATCAAATACTAGTCCTCTTGCTGTTTTGTGAGTTGCCATGTTACTGGGGGGACGCCAGATGAGAAATAACATTGGAATTTGTATTATCTCTGTGAGAGCCTCCCAATCGTAAAGTGGCTTGGACAACAGGGATACTGTTTAATTCTGCTGCAATGTGATTAAGATCGTTTGAGTTTGATTTCTTCATCTTTTTAGTGGCCATGGATTTGTGAGAACCCATCTTTGGATACAAGTAACACTAACTGTAATATAGTAAATATTGATTAATCATGAAATACCAACATAGCTTTTAAAAAAACACTATGTAGATGTAAAGTTGACACAAAGGCACATGGAAAACTTTAAACAGTATTAACTCTAAGATTAGGACAACTTTCTCTGAATCTCTCACTCCTCTGTATTTGACATAATAAGATGCTATATACCAAGAACTATGGCTCAGTTAAAAATGAAGAAGGTTCAAATACAGTGTGGTGAAAATGGTGAAGTCATTTTTATTTCAGTACTTGACAAAATACCCCATAAAATTCAAAACTTCTACCGTTATACAAAAATAGGTCTCTACAAGTGATATTATCTGTCTTCATCACCAGTAGAATATATTAGGCAGAAACATGTAACTTCAGTAGCCTTATAAGAAAAGTGCAGGACACCTCAAGCTACACATTCAGCAGTAATGTAATGTGTGAAAGTTTAATCTTTTCTTCACCCATTTGATAAATACACAAGGTTTATAATTTAATGTTTTAAATTAGCATTCCACAAATATACAAGTAATTCAATGATTATTGTGCATGAATACATACACAATGCTTTTATATACAAATTCGTTTGTTTTCATGTGCTGGCAAGGGATTTGTATACAATCATAAGCTGTGTTCATATTGGTCCCATCTAATATTCACAATACAAAAGCACAAAAGAACCACTGATTTACAAAAGGAAATCTGTTTTAAATCACCTCATGATGTTTCAAAAGATTATCTTCTAATGCCAGCATGAAAATGAGTAGTTGAACCTATGAGAGAAAAACAGGAAACTCAAATGATTTCAAATTACAGTGCTACCTGTATCAGACCCACTAAAGTTCACACAAAGGGGATTACTATTATTCTCAATTTTTTTTAAAGTCTTTTTTTCCCCCTTAAAATGTCTTCTTCATACTTAAACGGATTCCACCTGCCCCTCCACCCCCCAAACAGTCTTAGCTCTGCTGCCCAGGCTGAAATGCAGTGGTGTGATCTTGGTTCACTGCAACCTCTGCTTCCTGGGTTCAAGTGATTCTTCTGCCTTACCTTTCTGAGTAGCTGGGATTTCAGGCACATACCACCATGCCTGGCTAAGTTTTGTATTTTTTTGCAGAGACAGGGTTTCACTGTGTTGGCCAGGCTGGTCTAAAACTGGCTGATCTCCAACTCCTGACCTTGTGATCTGCCCACTTCAGCCTTCCTGCTGCGCCCAGCCCATAAACTTAAACTGATTTTTAAGAGATTTTGAATACATATTTAAAAGTCACCATGACTGGGCTCTATAGCAAGGTAGGTGAGACTAATGTTTAGAGTTTCTTTAAAGTGCTCTCAAAATTGAATGTTCTATACCTCACATATTTTTGAAAAGTCTTTTGGTCTTCAAAGTCCGCACCTTGTGAAATTTGGGTGCTCAAAACAAGCCAACGCAAACCAACCCACAAGCCTCAGCTATGATAATAAAAGTTTCCTATTACTACAAGTTGCTTGGGTTAAACAAATGATTTCTTGAGGAGATATACTACTAAGTTAAAATAGTATGTTATCAGCCAATAGTTTGTGAGACTAGTAGGAAAAAGGGGTCTTTAATAAAAGTAAAAGCAAAATATAAAAGTTGACTTAAAAATGATTCAAAGTCTCTGATGAGGAGTGAAGTGAAGTGAGATAAGGAAAACAGGTTTTCCTTCCCGGAACAGGGAATCCACCTTTATTTTAAAGTGTTCTTTGGTTCTGAACAAAGAAAAATAAAAGAATATTTACAAAGTATTTTAAATGGAATAGTTTTTTGGATGATACATAAAAGCACAATGTAGTAGCAGTGATGATGGTTACATTAAGTGCTTCAAGCAAGTGCTTCCTCCTAAACTCCACCGGATTCTCCTGCCTTACGGCTTGCTTTCTTTTTTTTTTTTCTTCTTTGAGATAGGGTCTCGCTCTCCCACCCAGGCTGGAGTGCTGTGGCACGGCCTTACCACTTTCTACCATGCACTACTTAGGAATACATTCTCCAATTAGGCTCTGTAGACTCAGAGAACCTTGCACATTGCTGCTCATCATGCATTTTGTGTCATCAATCCACTGAATGAAGATAGTAGGAAATCATTTCTGGGAGGAGTGGTATCTGGGGTAATAAATCATATCTTCACTTAAATTATTTAAAGTCAGTTTCTCTCTGCTGGTTACAAGAGTTTAAGCTTTGGCTAACTTGATAGCTCATTCATTAAAGTGGAAGCTTTGATTAACCTAATGATGAGTGTGAAGGAGTTTCAAAGAAAGGAGAGCTGTGGGTCTAGCACTGTAGTGCTGCCAAGATGTGGTTAAACTTAGAGCACCTGACTGTACAGTTCCAAGTCGTCTTTGCAGTGCCTCTAGCCGAGTGATATAATCTGTTAGGGCTCTGTCAGGATCATAATTCTGAAGCTGAGAACATGCTAAAGAACCAGGATTGAAATCAGCTGGAATGCCTGGGTACCTAAAGGATGAAAAACATGTACATGAATCAAATTACCCAGAAATATGCATATTGAGTTACCAAACTGCCTCCACTCCCTCCCTCTAACAGGCACTTGTACACACATAATATATATACCCCAAGCTTCAGCTTCTGAGCTTGGGATGACAAAGAACTCTTCAATGACTTCAAAGATGCTACTAAGTCAACATAAGAATGTCCAATACAATGCTTGTGGCAAAGGTCTCAACAAATTGGGTATGTATAAATGCATCTTGTCAGGAAGATTGTAGAGCTTTTCCTAATGGCCAAAGACTACTTTTCCCAGCATCTAACCACTAAATAACACTTGGTCAGGTTTGCTATAGCCTTGGAAACCAGTTACAAATTCAAACACTGGTTTTTACATTGAGCCTTAGATTACGTAAAAAAAAATTTTTTTTTTGAGACCGAGTCTCACTCTCAACTGGAGTGCAGCGGCACGGTCGCAGCTCACTGCAACCTCCACTTTCCAGGTTCAAGTGATTCTCCTGCCTCAGCCTCCCGAGTAGCTGGGATAACAGGCATGTGGTACCACGCCCAGCTAATTTGTTTGTATTTTTAGTAGATACAGGGTTTCACCATATTGGTCAGGCTGGTCTTGAACACCTGACCTGAAGTGATCCACCTGCCTCAGCCTTCCAAAGTTCTGGAATTACAGGTGTGAGCCACTGTGTCCAGTCAGATTACGTAAATTACATAAGACAAAGATATCTATCTCAATGCAAAGAAGTCAAAGCCCTAAAAATGTACATTTTTCTCTGTTAAATATGAATACATTTAACTATTCCAGGCAGTTTTTCTTAAATTCTTACCTATTTTGAAATGGTAAAGGGGACCTAACATAGTCCAGATCTGATCTTGAGCGATAGGTAGTATGCCTTGATTCTCCATATAGCTCCAGCCCACCAGAAGAATGATAAAATGAGTCAGTCTTTTCTGCACCTAAAGTAACCCAAGATGTACCTTATAAGGAAAAAAAAATTTCAAGCCCTTACAACATTTCTACACAACAGGTAAGTGCTCAAAAGACTATTATGCCATATTATAGCAACTCCTATTTATAGTCATTTTCTATTATTCTTGCTAAAGGAGAAACAGTACCAACAAAAACTTGGCTTTCAAATGTTATTTTGTTTACTTTTGAATATGAGTATTTCTGATATCTGGAACTATGTCTCAAAGAAATTATTTAGTTGGTAAGCAGATGAGAGGTGGGGGTGTCTTGAGTATGTGTGGTTTTGGGAAATGATGTGGACAAAAAATATTAGAGTGCTGTAACCATTCCATTCGACTGACTTGAAATCAAGATTTGCAAACTTTTACCACAACACAACTCATCACGATACAAATTTCAGCTGTTTCAGTGTAACGATATTTCAAGTACTTTGTGTAGAGTACCATATATACTTCCCCTTTCTCTTATGCTTAGCTCCTGGTAGAGGATGTAAAGGTGGTTTACTATGAATACACAGCACAGGGATGCTGTGTCTCTGTACCTCTGTGTGCTCCCCAGATTCAGACTTCATCTTTATTGCCAGAAATGTTCAAGCCCTAGTTTGTTTCTACTTCTAGGTATACAGTGAAGGAGTTTTAACTGTTACCAGTACTATACAACTTATTGGTAAACTCAGAAACCTGTTTGAATATGGTTAAATTATGAAAACTTCGTAATTTTTCCACAAGACTAACGGCAATCCTGTCTTGAACCAGTGCCTTAAATGCAGTTATAAAGAGTGTGGGCTCTGCAGCCAGATTGCTAGTGTTTGGTCCTGGTTCCATCACTTCCCTACTGGCCATTCTGGGGAAAATGACATGTGTTTTCCATGCCTCGGTTTTTCATCTATAAAGTGAGAATAGTAACAATTGTACTTACATCATAGGATTGAGAGAATACATGAAAGGAACATGGCCTGGTACAGACTAAGTTCTCCATGAAAACCAGCTACTATTACCCTCTTTAGTGAAGTTCCCTAGTTTTGGTAGTTAAAAGGGCTTTGTCTTTGAAAAACATTGCTTCCAGAATTCATTATTTGGAAAGTATTACAAATGCAGTAATTTAGAGCAGCAGTCCCCAACCTTTTTGGCATCAGGGACTTGTTTCATGGAAGACAATTTTTTCAGAGACCCAGAGGTGCTGGAATGATTTCTGGATAAAACTGTTCCACCTCAGATCATCAGGCACTAGTTAGATTCTCATAAGAAGCATGCAACCTAGATCCCTCACATGTGCAGTTCACAATACAGTTTGTGCTCCTATGAAAATCTAATGCCGTGGCTGATCTGACAGGATATGGTGGAGCTCAGGCAGTAATGTGAGGTCACACGCGGCTCATCTGATGCTACGCGGCCTGGTTCCTAACAGGCCACAGACCAGTATGGGTCCATAGCCTGGGGCTTGGGGACCCCTGATTTAGAGAGTCATAAACATAAGAAAATAAGCTATTTTGACTTCACCTTGGTTCAGTCCGAAGCCATCTCTGCTAATATTGATGGAACCAGAACCTGTGACTCGATGCCACCGTTGAACCAAAAATTTCATTCTAAAAAAGATTCCAAGATAAAATTTCACAGCACATCTATAACATAAATAGTATAAATATACACTTCCTAAAAAATCACATCATACATTTAAATATGAACATAGAACAAATGTCAAATTTCACAACTGCCTAATTAAACTGTGTCAATGCCCCCTGGTTGTGACAAAATCAACTGGGACAGAAGAACAGGAATTCAAGATCCCCTCATCCCCATCCCAAGAGGCATTAATGTTTCTTAAATTGTCAGCATGAGGTTCTGGCTTTAGGGATAAATGGGGTACAAGGAGATGGAAGACAAAAGTAGATGGGAAAAAAGTAGATAGGCAAAGAAAGGGTGAGAAGTAATGAAATAAGAGTGAAGAATAAAGGGCAGATAAAATAGGAAGAGAACAAAAAGACCCTTAAATTGGCAATAAGAATGTGCTGGGAATGCTGCAAGGTGGGTGAGGCTCTTGTCCCTTTGATCAGGGACAAAAAATATTGGTTTCAAAAGGAATGGGAGTGTTAGCTTCCTGAACCAGACACCACAAGTTACTACCTGTGCCATCTTGGCCCAAGAAGCTTCTGAAGCACCAGTTTGCTTTCCAGTCAGTTCTAAGGCTCTGTCTTAGGAGGGTCAAAATACGATAAACATACACTCTTGGACAAGAAAAAGTGGAGCAGAATGAAGTATGTCAATAACAACTTCTACATTGCTTTCATGAAGCCTCCCTAAATCCCTCTAATCAAAATTACTGGCTAACTCCTGTGACCTCCTATTTATGCATCTTCTATGTTCCGTACATATTAGTCTTCCCCACTAGAAAGTAAGCTGCCTTTAGGTATTTAGGCAGGAATTACATATTTTTTCATCAATGCATCTACCAGCACTTACCCTGGTTTACTCTATATGAGGTGAAGAAGGAAAGGTGAGAAAGAGTAAATGAAACCTGGGGACTACAATGTGTTCTATCAGGAGCAAGGAGGGTCTAAGGCCCACAGAAAGATGAAACCCAAGCTCCTGTTTACGGATCCAGCATGAACGAGACTTGGGAGACCGGGCTGGCTGTCCCATCTCTATCACTACGGGCTTTGTAACCTCTCCCTTCCTCAGTTTCCTCAAGTGTGAAATGAGATTCTGGACTAGGTGACCTCATAGAGCTTCCAGTTAAAAAACTGTCCCATACTTTTTAGAGGAAAATAAAGAAGGAGAAAAAGGATAAAACTCCTTAAAGCAGCGTCCGATGTGACCTGACAAAATGAACTTTAAAAAGCAAAATTCCTTTAAGATTATGTCTGCCTTCTAAAAGGGCGGGGACGCATGGAGAAGCCTCTGTGTTTGTATGCATATGACCAGGTCAGAAGACTGTAGTGGGCTAGGCCCTCAAAGTAGTTTAAGTCTTGGCTCCATGTCAATCACAGACAGAATGAATACCAGAGTTCTTAGCTTGGAACTACTAGAGAAAGGACAACAAAAGCTCTAGCAAAATCCAGTGTCCTAAAGGCTAACCTCTGACTTGAATGCAGTTAGGACAGAATTTTCCATATCTGGGCACCAAAAGTGGTTTATCTTAGCAATGAAGAAAATGATCGTATGCCAGCCTAAGAAGGAATTTGTCAAGCACATTTTTAAATGTTATGATCTTTTATTTACATGTGTGAGCTTCTTCATGGGCTTATTCAGATTGTTTTTTAAAAGGCAACCCTGACTAGATAGGCCAGCTCTGAGCTACTAGCTGCCTGCACGTAGGAAGGCCCTTTTCATAGTCTATACATACCCTGCTAGTATTCCTGCTAAATGAATGAAAACCTAGGAAAAAAAAAAAAAAAGCAGGCATGCTTCAGTGATGGCAAATACCTCCTACTATACAAATATAGAGTATAACCAGCAAAGAAAAGAGGGAGAATTAAAAAGAACTAATCCTTTTATAGAGTCTACTAGTAAATGCATTTTCCTTCAAGTACTTTACCTGGAAATTGCAATGGATACTCTGACAGCCGATCGAAATCTGGTGAAGCCCTTTGGGCGATTGGTGATCACCTCCAGATCTGTGAAAGCTGGCTGTCCCCCCATCCGGGCAAGCAGGGCCAAGGTGGCATCTTCACATTCCTGGAACCCACCCAGTAACAGCAGCAGGTATTTCTTCTGGTAAATGAGAGCCTTTCGAAAACTTTCTGCCCTCAAGTATTTACCATAAATTCTCTATATTTAAAGAAGAGAAGAACATAAAGACATCAAAAAAACATTCAATCTACTCTCTAGGGGAAAATAACCCAGATTTTAATAATCATCATCATCATAAGTCGTAGTAGTATAGTAGTAAAATAGCAGGTATCCTATCGTTGTTTTCTACTTTATTAGCAAAGTTGAAATTTAAGATAAATTAACTAATTTTTACACTTTTGCCTCCTTAGTCAATGGAGTCTGAATACTAATAATATAGTTAGACTTTTTGTTTCTTTTGGATTTTAGCCCTTATTCATCATATTCATTGCAAATATTTTTGTCACCTCATTTTCATCTAAGTTTTTTAAAAATTGTACAGAGATATTTCTATTAGGGTCACTAATCTAACTTTTTAAATGTTAATGCTTTCTATCCTTTCGAGTAATAAACTGGAACAAATGTTCCAAAAATTTTTCTTTTTGTTTTGAGTTTTATATTGACTGATTAAGGCAGTTTTAACAACATTCATTATTAGTCACTAGAGAGGCTTTTCAGAGGGCTTACCATTTTAGAGTATGATGCTCTCACATTGACAGTAGTAGAGCTTTTGTTACGAGTTGAAAAGATAACATTCTTTTGGTCTGTTAGGGATGAAACCAGGGAAAGTGGAACCATGAGTTCAGAATGCTCCCACTGTGACCATAAACAGAGGTTAACCTGGTCCCAGTCCTGGGCATGCCTTTCCACAAACCTTCTGTGAACTGTATTCATGACAAAGACTAAATAAAGAGACCTAGAGACATAGCCTGAACACCACCTACATTTCTTTAGTCTATTTAATTAAGGTCAGTGAGAGATGAAAGAAGGCAAAAACATAGAACCAGCTGTGATGTTAAGACGGGAGATGTCTCCTACCTTTAAAGTAACATGTTCAGAATCAGGGCTCAGAGTTTGAAGTAAAGAATCATTTCTTAGTTCAGCTTTCAGTTTGTATACTTCAGCCTCTGCCCTTTTCAAAGATTTCTGGAGACTCAATTTTTCTCTATTCCATACTTCTTTTTCAGAGGCAATGATGGCTTCAATGTTGGCACCACCATTCAATGAAAACCTAGAAGACTGGAAAGACCACAGCCTACTTACATGATTTTTAAGAACAAGTCTCTGAAGAAAAGTCTGAGCTAAATATATTAAAGATATCTCCGTGATGATACAGTCTCAACTTTCTAACCCCACCCAGATAAAGTTCAAAGCCAATCTCAACTGATATTACGCATATACACTAACTCTAAGTACAAGGTCCTTTGCTAAGTACATTAGTTTTACAATTAAGTCCTTGTGAAAACCTGTCCACAGAGAAGGTTTAGCAGATTAGCAGAGCTTTGAACTAAAAAAGTCAAGAGACTTAACAGACATTTAAGTCCAAATTTTGAGCCCATGCCTAAAAGAGTGTAATGGAGAACTGGGAAAAAACAAGCCAGTATGTACATAAGTGGATTTCTATAAAAGGCACATAAATATGTAATCATGTATTTAACTGTACAGTTGTCTTACAGGTCTTTTCTTTCTTTTTTTTTGAGATGCAGTCTCACTCTGTCACCCAGGCTGGAGTGCAGTGGTGTGATCTTGGCTCACTGCAACCTACACCTCCCAGGTTCAAGTGATTCTCCTGCCTCAGCCTCCTGAGTATCTGGGATTACAGGTGCACACTACCATGACCAGCTAATTTTTGTATTTTTAGTAGAGACGGGGTTTTACCATGTTAGCCAGGATGGTCTCAATCTCCTGACCTTGTGATGTGCCTGCCTTGGCCTCCCAAAGTGCTGGGATTACAGGCGTGAGCCACCACGCCCGGCCACAGGTCTTTTCTATTTTTATATTGGGTGATTATGGAAACTAGCAATTAATTTTATACCTGTTTTTAAATGAAAAAATTTTAAGTAAATTCTCAGAGTATCAGGCTGAAAGACATAATTTAACAGCATCTTTTACTTGAGTCGTGAACACAATAACTGATAAGTGGCTGAAGAGAACAGTCAGGATACACGTTTGAACATCTCGAGTATCTGCTGTCGGTCCCCAGGTAGCAAGTATCTGGCTTTGGAGATAAATATAACTTGGTTTGACTATGACTTCAATTCAGTTTTTTCATGTATAAGGTGGATGTGGATTAGAGATTCTGAATGTATACAACCCAGAGGTTGTATACACCCAATGGTTTCCAATAAGTAACAGTAACTAGTAACAACAGTAATATTATTATTGTCATCCCTATAAAATATTCTACAGATCCTACTAAGAATCACGTATGTGATAGTTTTACATTAACAGCATTAAAACTTGAAACTAGATAGCAGAAATGGTAAGAATGTACTAATTCTCATATATGGAGATGCTAAAAATGGACATACATGATCTCTACCAGCTCCTGTCTGTCGATACCACCTGATCTGCTCTTCCAGCTTCATAACCATGTTCCTTAAGTCATTCTTCTCTTCAGTCAGTTGACTGATATGCCCTGTCAGTTCAGCATTTTGTCTCAGTAGTCTTTCAGTCAATGAGCCACAAGAAGTACTTGGGGACACCAAGCTGGGCTGGAAAAATAAAATGGTGTAAGGTCACTTACCCACAAATGGATGTGAATGCTGCATATAAAGTGTGAACAGGCACTGAGAGCAACAGATTTCATGAACTCATGCTTGAGTTGAGTCTTCAGTAATACGTAGATACTTAACAGGCAGAAAAGAGAAGGAAGGACTTATTAAGCAGAAGGCACAAAGGCTTGAATGACTGTGTATTGCTTCCAGGGTGTTGAAAGTTGCCTGGTAAGTCTAGATTGCTTTACTTTATGGATAACAGACCTATATGTAGGCAATGGAGTCATGAAAGGCTTGATGCAGAAGTTATGACACAAAATTTATGTGTTAAATTCCTTTGGTAGTAATGTACAAAGCAGGGGAACTTATGAAAGATATAATGTTTGTGTCAGGTAGGCTTATCAGGAAGCTGTTTCAACAGCCAGGTAAGAAATGCTCAAAGCCTGAATGGAGGCAATGACTAAGGGACAGAGAGTAAAGGGTGTGTGGGAGAGGTATTTAGAAAGTAGGAGGGACAGGACTTAGTGACTGTCTAGACTTGCAGGTAAGGGTGAAGGAAAGTGGTCTATGGTGACTTCCAGCTTTCTAAACTGGATGATAGCATGACTAGAAATGTGGGTCTGGAGCATGAAGAGAAAGGGAAGATGGTGTTCAGTTTGGAATGTGCCTGTGAGGTTCCTAAGGGGTCACTATGGGGTACATTTCCCAAGGAAAAATGTCTAGTAACTAATTGAAAATATAAGCTGGGAACACAGGACAAAGGTCTAGACTAGAACCATAGTCCCTTAAAGATAAGCTCCATATGGGTGAGGTTTTAATTAGATTTGTTCATTGTATCTCCAGAACCTACCTGGCACATAGTAAGTGTTCAATATAAGTATTTGTTTAATAAATAAGTCTAGTGAGAGCTCAGACTGTTGGACTGCATGAGCTTTCATAGTTACAGGTTAGAGAAAAGAAGGAAGAGGGTAGGAAGAGGAACCACAAAGGCAACTGATGAAAGCAGCAGAAGAAATGCCAGAATACTGACATGACAGGCAAGGAAAGAGGGGGTTTTAAGAAAATAAAAGAGGTCAAAAGTATTAAATACTACCAAGAAGTGAAGAAAGGCTGAAAAGATTCACCAGATTAGTCAATTGTTTAGACAATGGTAGGAGTCTAGGGGTGTTTCATGGAGCAGAGAGGGTAGAAGCTGATCACTCTTTCGGGAAGCTTGTCTCAATACACTAAAAGGTCAACATAATTATTCAATAACAATAATGAAAGCTAATTTCCCCTCTAAGCTTTTTCTTCTCTTGGGGGAAAGCAAGCATTATTATTCATATTTATAATAAATAGATACATTTGAAACTATAAAAAGTATAAAGAATATGCTGCAAGTTTCAAACGATTCACAGTTTCCATTAAATCTTTGCTCTCAATGCTTTAAAAATAACTGTAAAAAAGTATTACCTCTTCACCTTGCTGGCCAGTTAATTTCTGTAGTTGTAAAATAATTTCATCAATATTTTCCTGAACCCAAATGAAATCTTCATCATCTGCTGTTTCAAACTGTAGTCTTCAAGAAAAAGACAAAAAGTCAAAACATACTTTCTCAATTGGGGGTGTTTACTACCACAAACATTACAGAGCAGGTGACATTCTGCTCCACCTACCACTTCTCCCTTATATTCCATGTCTCTCCTCCCTGGGTCAAAGTGCTAGATAGTTGTTTTCAGATAAATGAGTTCTGTTAAAGAATATCACCTCCTAATGTAAACATGCATTACCTTTAAAACTTCAATTCCCCATCCTTGGCTAGCTGTCAGGGAGTCACGGGGTCTGCCCAGCCTAGGAACACTACTTTCCCAAAGATCAGGCAGAAAAGTCTAACCTCGTAGAGGCTTTCTGGGCTAGAACCTGTAGTTTTGAAGCTACACATTGAAGCTTTCGTCTGATCATTTCTAATTCATGATCACAGCCAGTTCCTCCTCCATTCATTTCAACCAATTTAGGGTAGTTTGATTCCTTTGTTTCTCCTTCTATTTTCTGTTGAAGAACCCAATTTCTTGTTCGATCACTGGTTAAGCTCCACGTGGCTGGCTGGCAATTTTGGACAGAATAAGAAAACAATAATTATAAGTGAATAGCGTATCTCAGTCTTTCTTAAGGGAACATAATTATTGCTTATATCCAATAGACTTATATAGATCTCATTTTTAAATGATTTACATATAGCTGTTTAAGTAATTTAATCCAATATCAAAATTTAATGATCAAAGGGCTACAGTACTTTCTTTAAAAATATCTAAAAAGAAACTGTCAGTTTACCTCATTAAGATTTTGATACAGAATTCTTCTACTTTCTCGTTTTTCTTCTCTTTCTAGTTCCTGCTTCTGGAATTCCTGCATGATTCCTTGTAGTCGCTTTCCTTCAAGGTCTAACTTATAAACTTGTTGTCTTTTCTCTTCCAGCTGGCGCTGAAGATCTTCCACTTTGGACTGGAGCTCATGCATTTTTTTCTGTCCCTCAGTGTTGGCCTCTTGCTCTGTCTGCAGTGTTTTCCTATGAACCTGCCTATCTTTTTCCATTTGCTGTCGTGTTTGCAGTGAATCCAGTTTATATTTTTCGGTCTCATTTAACAATTCTACTATGCGTCTGTGCTTTTCCTCTAGCTGTTTCTGCAGCTCTTTTAGTAGGTCCTCCGAGGGCAAGGATGGCCGAGGCTGCCCAGTACTATCATTGTTCTGCAGCTGTGCATGCAATTCCCGCTCCCTATCTAGGGTACTACTCATTTCCCGAATTCGAACTTTCTCAGATTCAAGAAGCACTTGAAGCTCTAAGTTTCGACCTTGTTCTTCAGACAGCTGGGCATCATATAGCATTCTCTGTGATTCTATTTTTTGCTGGGATTCGTTCAGTAGTTGTTTCTGTTGTTCCAAAAGTAGATTTAGCTGAAGATTCCTTTGTTTCTGACTCTCAAGTGAAAACTTCAGATCCTGGTATGAGAAAATCAAATTTAAGAATTTATGTTAATATTATTAAAAATACTTACTCAGGAGCAGTGGCTCATGCCTGTAATCCCAGCACTTTGGGAGGCTGAGGTGGGCAGATCACCTGAGGTCAAGAGTTCAAGACCAGCCTGGCCCACATAGTAAAACCCATTTCTACTAAAAATACAAAAAATTAGCTATGCACAGTGGTGCACACCTGTAGTACCAGCTATGTGGGAGGCTTAGGGAGGAAAATTGCTTGATCCTGGGAGGTGGAGGTTGCAGTGAGCCAGGGTCGCACCACTGCCCTCCAGTATGGGCGACAGAGTGAGACTTCAAGTTAAAAAAGAAAACAAAACAAAACACACTTTTTAAGTTTACAACCATGTCTTTATTAAAACTATGTTGGTATTATTTGTATTAGAAAATAAAACTGATATTTAGTTTGTTAACTTAAATGTTCAGTAGTGCATAATCAGGAAATATAAACAAAAGAAGGGTAAGATAATACTTTTCTCAAAAAATCTTAATCTCACTAAGTAATATGAAACAGGGTACATTTCTTATTAGAATAATAACCTTTAAAAATATAACTGTTCTGGCCGGGCACAGTGGCTCACGCCTGTAATCCCAGCACTTTGGGTGGCTGAGGTGGGAGGATCATGAGGTCAGGAGATGGAGACCATCCTGGCCAACAATTAGCCGGGCATGGTGGTGTGCACCTGTATCCCAGCTGCCCAGGAGACTAAGGTAGGAGAATCACTTGAACCCAGAGGCAAAGGTTATAGTGAGCCGAGATTGCACCATTGTACTCCAGTCTGACAGAGGTGACAGAGGAAGACTCCATTTCGGGGGAAAAAAAACCAAAACTGTTCCTGGAGAGCTTATGTTTTGATAAGATTCCTGTGCACGTTAATAAATTTGTATAGAATAATATAAATGTTGCTGATATAATGTGATAGGAGTTGTGAAAAACCTTGCGTTTTGCAGTATCACATGCTAAAAATAATAGGGCTTATAAGGAAAGCAAGATTGGGGCAAACAAAATATACATAAACTTTTCATGGTTAAAAAATTATAACTGGTACCTGGGGAGATATCATATCCCTACTGGGTAGAGTTCTCTGCTTGGAGGCTACCACAGTGGACATTAAAAATAAAAAATAGGGCAAAAATGCCAGCAACCCATTGTTTTTCAGCACAGAGTTAGTGGGAATTAGGATTATGTGGCTAGAAGAGCTCTGAGCTAGTGAGACAACTCTGTCTCTACTAAAAGCATATAATGCATGTAGTAGTACAGTCTGCCTTGATTTGAGAGCCTTAAAAAGCAGGAGTCTGTCTCTTTGAAAAGGACCAATTGTTCACTTTAAATGTTCTTAGAGTACAGCAGAGAGGACTACAGAAAAGTATCCCTGTTCCCCTTCCCTAGGAGAAAACAGGAACCAAAACTACCTCTGTATCAAACTGACAGGATTGCCATATATATCAAACTGTATGCACCAATTCACATGCCCAGAACATGTTGCAGCAGAGCAATCTATATGCATCCTTCAATGTAGCAAAATAAAACAAAACAAAAAAACAACCACACCATTAGCATTTCCTCATAATACAGTTTAGATAACATTATGTAGTATTCAATGCATAGTGAACAACTTAATGTATCTTATTAATAAGTCTAAGGTTGACATTTTAGATGGAGGAAAGTCTCAAGACTCTCTTCTATCATTCTGGATTTTCCAGAGACATTTAAAGATAAAGATAACAGTACCTCAAGTTCCTCTTTATCCCGTTCTTCACTGTGTCCCAACTTGGCTTTCTCTTTCTCCAAAGCCCATTGGAGCTCTCTTGTTTTTTTCTGTTCACTTGCTAATGTATCATTGAGCAAATGTACTTCATCTGTTTTATCTTTAACTTCCAACCTAAGTCAGGGAGACAAATGAACTTCCATTAAGCTATGTTGACCAAGCATATAACGAGAGAGGAAGAACAGCTTCCGCTGAAAAGTTGAGGGATATAATAAAGTAGCTAACGGGAAAATATAAACCATTACAGATTCTTGACAGGGGTTCATTTCAAATTGACTGTTTCTTTTTTTTTGAGATGGAGTCTCACTCTGTTGCAGGCTGGAGTGCAGCCTCTCGAGTAGCAGGGACTACAAGTGCGCTACTACGCCCAGCTAATTTTTGTATTTTTAGTAGAGACAGGGTTTCACCATGTTGGCCACGATAATCTCAATCTCTTGACCTTGTGATCTGCCCAATTCAGCTTCTCAAAGTTCTGAGACTACAGGCGTGAGCCACTGTGCCTGGTCCTCTTTTATTTTATTTTATTTTATTTTATTTTTGAGATGGAGTTTTGCTCTTTTTGTCCAGGATCCACCCACCTTGGCCTCCCAAAGTACTCATATTCTAGGCGTGAGTCACCACACCTGGTCTCAAATTAACTGTTTCTAGTAGTACAATTATTAGTTATTATTTACCATTGCAAACAGCTATATAATTTATTGTTACAAAATAATATGAATAAAAAATTTGGCTGGCGTGGTGGCTCACACCTGTAATCCCAGAACTTTGGGAGGCTGAGGTGGGTGGATCACCTGAAGTCAGGAGTTTGAGACCAGCTTGGCCAACATGGTGAAACTCCATCTCTACTAAAAATACAAAAAACCCGGTCTCTACTAAAATATAAAAATTAGCTGGGTGTGGTGGTGCACGTCTATAGTTCCAGCTACTTGGGAGGCTGAGGCAGAAGAATTGCTTGAACTCGGGAGGTGGAGGTTGAAGTGAGCCGAGATCGAGCCACTGCACTCCAGCCTGGCGCCTGGCGACAGAGCAAGACTCTGTCTCAAAAAAAAAAAAAAAAAAAAAAAAAAAATCACTAGTTGTAATGTGTCTTTGACAACAGAATAGCTCAGTAATTATACCAACAAATATATCCATTTAACAAGCACTGTCTCTTCAAATATTTTGCATATTTTAGCTCATTAAATCATGAATCCTACTGAGTTCACAAATGTCACTTCAAATTGGTTGGTGGTAAAATAAAGGTCAAAGTCAAAACTGTATCTCATACAAGTCTCACACAGAACTGAAGTCACAGTAGAGAATATGCTATAATCATGATCATAAGTTCATCATTTGGAAAAATTTAAAGTTTTTTTCTATTACAGTTTTTCATTAAAAACCAGTTGCATTCAAATAGCATGCATGTTCTATTTTTCTATATTTGCACAGTGTTTATGACAAAATTACTCCAACTCCTTGTAACATGTTTATAATAAGAAAGCCTAGCACACCTGAAAGCCTCTAATTCCTTTAGGTGTTTATGCTGTGCCTTGAGTGTTGTTTCTAGTTCCAATTTAGTTTGTGCAAGCTCACTCTTCAGTTCAGCAACCAGCATTTTCTCAGAACTCAGCTGCTCCTGCAGTTCTGTTGCTCTGTCTTTCATACTGCTGAGCTCCACTTGCATTTCCAGCATTTGAGACTGCTTCTGCTGTATATTATATTCCAAGAGTTCTACATAGAACATGATTAGTATTTAAAATATAATGAAGCAACTCATATTTTGCTTATAAATACTTGTTGATAAGAACTGATTTGTAGTTTAGGAGATTACTTCAAAGCAAACATGAAAAATTATAGTTCTAAGAGTTGGTAATGCAGTCCAGGATCAGTGGCTCATAGCTGTAATCCCAGCACTTTGGGAGGCTGCGGTGAGAGGGAGGTCTGCTTAAGGACAGGAGTTCAAGACTAGCCTGGGCAACATGGTAAAACCCCGTCTCTACTAAAAATACAAAAATTAGCTGGGAGTGCTGGCATGTGCCTATAGTCCCATCTACTCAGGGGGCTGAGGTGGGAGGACTGCTTGAGCCCAGGAGGTAGAGGTTGCAATGAGCTGAGACCATGCCACTGCATTCCAGCCTTGGTGACAGTGAGACCCTGTCTCAAAAAAACAAAAAGAGTTGGTAATGTATATAAATAAATTTTAGGCATGTTTTCCTTAGAGTGCTAGTGGCCAAGATTTCAGAACTATAAATGTATAAGGGTGAAAGCGTAACAAAATACATTAATGAATGTAAGACTTAAAAAAAACCTTTAAATGGAACTCATATTTGTTCATTCAGAATTTTAACAATGTACATTAAAAAACTCCAAAGATTTCTGATAGTCACACAAAGTACTTGCAGGAGTTATCCAAGTAACTGACTATAATGATGAGCACTGCTTGTATCTTTTGTTCAGCACTCCTTTGCAGATAGTCCCTGGGAACTTTACTATAACATAACTCTGTTCCCAGAAGTGGGAAATCCAAACCCCACTTTGGATACTGTCCTTTTTTCCATCAAAAGCCAACCAAACCCTTGCTACATGTTTGTTACAATAAAAACAAACTGAAAAATTTAAATGCCTAAATAAGTTAAATGAAAAAAAGCGTGTTATAAAGTATGTATCAGGATCCTCTTTTTATGGAAAATATAAACTATATACACATGCACATTGAAAAGGTCTGGAGACATATTTACCCACGTGTTCAGTAGTCATTAAGGATTCAGGTGATTTAAGGGATGGTTTTCACCCTATTCTCTTCTGTATTCTACCATAAATATGTAATACTATACTACTCTAATAAGAAAAGGATTTTTAACTTAAAAACATACTATCAAAGTTCAACAATTCACATTATAATTCATATTAATGATGTTAGGAGGCAGAAATAACATTAGCTTTAGATGATAATAAATCATGTTTAATTTAGGCTTCTAAAACTTTAGAGGTAAAGAATTTACATAAATGTGAATGTGTGACATTAATTAAGCTTTCAACGGTGTTCTATTTAACCTAAAAAAAAAAAAGATATTAATTTGTCCCTAAAAGGCATCTTCAATTAAGCAACTACATCGAAAGTGATACGTGTGTTATCTCATTATGAGTCTTTTTTCTGAAGTAATTTTAACCTGCTTAGGTCTTTTTTTTCTTCTTAAACTCAGTGATAAGAATGGTTCAGCACTTTTTTTTTTTTTTTTTTTTTTTGAGATGGAGTCTACCTGTCACCCAGGTTGGAGTGCAATGGTGTGATCCCAGCTCACTGCAACCTCTGCCTCCTGGGTTCAAATGATTCTCCTGCCTCAGCCTCCCAGGTAGCTGGGATTACAGGTGTGTACCAACATGCTCAGCTAATTTTGGTAGTTTTAGTAGAAACAGGGTTTCACCATGTTGTTCCAGGCTGGTCTCGAACTCCTGACCTTGTGATCTGCCTGCCTTGGCCTCTCAAAATAATGGGATTACAGGTGTGAGCCACTGCCCCTGGACTGCTTCAGCTTTTCAATGATCAATATGAGACCATGCTGTGACTTCTGTGCAAAAGGATACATGTTTCTACCATTACATTAAAAAAATTCCTAAACACAGGCATATGTCCTCAGTGGATATGATAAAAATTAGATTTCACTTTACTTTCTAATGATTTCCATCTGTAGCTCAATTTAAAGGACCAGATATTCTTATCAAAAAGTACCTAAACAAGCAAATCACAAAAACAAAAATTCAACTAGCCAATTACCATGTGAAAAAAGGACTAAACACTTCAGGAATTAGAGAAAAGTCAATTAAAACCACAATAAGAATTTATGGCACACCCAGCAGATTGGCAACAGAAGTCTGACTATACCACCTCTTGGCAAAGATGTGAAGCAACACAACTCTCATATACTGCTAGTGAGAATATAAATTAATATGACAGTGTAGGAAAATCGTTTGATATCATCTAATAAATTTGAAGATATGCATCCCATGACCCAGCAAGTCTACTCTTAGTTATATACTCAGAAGATACATGCACATACGTAGCAGAAACACCATACAACAATGTTTATAATAGCACTGATAGCTAAAAGTTAAAAAGTGGAAAAAACCCAAATGCTCGATCATATTAGTAGAATAGATATATTTTGGAGTACCTATACAGGGAATTCTACAGAGTAATAAGAATGAATGAAGTTGAGATAAATACAGTAAATTGGAAGAATGTTACAGAGAGGTGAATGAAACAAGATAAAAAAACACGTGCGGATTAATAAAGTTCGAAAACAGAAAAAACTTTAAACTTACATGTTTTAGGAATCTATAAATAGGTAGTAAAACTAAAGAAAAATCAGAATAATGATTACCTCTAAGTTACTCAGAGGAGCATGTACTTGGGAGAAGGAGCTTTTGGGATACTGGCTATATTCACATAGGTGATGTTACCATAGATACTCATTTAATAATTTGTCATACTGCATATTTGCAATTTGTAATTTTGTTTGTATTTTACATCTCACAGTTTTTTTTAAAGGATTAAAAAAGAATTAGTTACATGCATTGTGGATATTCCTCTAAAGAGTATTTTCTGTTATATGACCAGAAAGACTGTTTTCTTAACATATAGCTCTAAAATAAAGAAAGAAAATGAATCCAATGGGCTTAAACTGCTCAGGGGAATGGCAGTTTATTTTAAAGTCAACAGAGCTGTTTAAAATCAATTTAACAATCCTCTAACCCCTCAAGTAATTAATACAGATTGTATCCTTAATATTATGAAAAGAAGAAAATGTGACCAAGAAAATGTGTTTTAATAATAATAGAAAGAAAACAAAGTGAACTTTTTTCACCTATTCGTGTAACATCATGAGCTTGTCATACAACATACCTTGGCTTGGTTTCTCATTCTCTTGTTCTCTTTTCAGAGTAATTTTCCTACCATTTATTTGTGCATGCAGTGCCTGAATTTCAGATAACAAACTCCTTCTATCTGCTTTCTGCAGGCATTCCATAGCTGCTTGATATTCAACACCCTGTAAAAAAGAAAGGTAAAAATCAAGGGAAGAGAGATGTAAAGGCAATAAAATTAACAACCAAGAAATTTGAAGAATAATCAATGAAACACACATACTCAAATTTTCTTTAAAAAAATTTTTTTCTTGTTTCTCCTTTCCAAAATGTCTGAGGATATGCTGCAGACAAATGCTCCTTTACCTCTAAATACCGAAGTGTTTCCTTAAAACAAGAACATTCTTTTACATAACTACAATTAGCAAAAGTAGAAGTAACATTACTACAATACTATTATGTGATATACAAAGCCTATTCCAATTTTGTGAAATGTCCTTCATAGCAAAAAGAAAAAAAAGTGATATTCATAAGTCTTTCATTGTCTTTCATGACCTTGAATTTTGGAAGACTACAGGCTATTTTGTTATTATGTGCCTCAACTTTAAAAAACTTTTAAATTTTGTATTAATTTAAGCTAAAGTTCCTGTGTACCCTTTAGCCAGCTTTTCCCAATGTTACCATCTTGTATTACCACAGTATATTATCAAACCAGGAAACTGACATTAGTATAATACTAAACTATAGGGCTTATTCAGATTTCATTAGTTTTCACATGCAGTCATTCATTTGCTTGGTGTGTAGTACTACAAAATTTGATCACATGTATAGACAGGTTCATGTAACTACTACTACTATCAGGGTACAGACTGTTTTATCACCACAAAGAAACTCCTTTGAGGCATACCCTCTCCCTAACCCTAAACCCTGTCAACCACTGATCTGTTCTCTATTACTATAATTTTGTCATTTCAAGAGCATTATATAGCATATAAGGGCATTATATAGCAGGCATCAACAGTCTGTTTCTTTTTAATTGCTGAGTAGTCTTTCATTGTATGGATGTACCATAGTTTGTTCATCTATTTCTCCATCAAAGGACATTTAGGATGTTTCCAGTTTTTGGCTATTGCCCTCCCATTTTACATTCCTACCAGGAATGTCTGAGACAGCTTTTCTTCATCCTCATCAGTACTTGGTGTCACTATTTTTTATTTTGATAGAGGTAGTGTTCTCAATTTGTTTTGGTCTGATATTTCCCCAAGAGTAGACTCTGAATATTCATTTGACAGAAATACTATACAAGTGGCACTGTGCCATTCATATTAGGAACTGTATGATGTCTATTCCATTACTGGTAATACTAATTCTGATCACTTGGTTAAGGTGGTATCTGCAAGGTTTCTCCACTGTGAAGTTACTGCTTTTCCCTTTGTAATTAAAGAAGATTTTCTGGGGATTTACTTTGAAACTATGTAAATATATTTTCTTATCAAACCTTTTTACACTAGTTTTATCATCCGTTGCTATCTATTGCCTGAATCGATCATTACTATAGTGTTTAATAAAGGGTGATTTCCTAATTTCATTGTTCCTTCTACATTTACTAGCTGTTATTCCATGGTAATACTATTTACTTATTTATATCAGTGTGGTCTCATGAATTCTTATTTCACTCTTTGGCTTATAATTTGTCAGTTATCATTTAGTATGATGTTTAAACTTTTCTACGATTTGGCCACTTGGAGCTCCTTCAAGCTGATTTCTGTGACCTTTTGGTATGTTCCCTTCATTCTTTGAACAATTCCTTACTTGTCCCCAAGACAAGATGTTCCAGGCTCACCTTGTACTTCCCTTAATCCACCCAGAGAATCACCAGTTCCACCAGAAGTCCTAGTTCTTTTCAATGGAGAATATATTTGAAAAACAAGATCTGGGTGCTAAGTATTATGAGTAGATTTTTAACTACTGATTTGATTCTGTTATATAATAGGTCTTTGCAGGTTTTCCATTTCGTTTTTTTTTTTTTTTTTTGAGATGGAGTCTCGCTCTGTCGCCAGGCTGGAGTGCAGTGGCACAATCTTGGCTCACTGCAACCTCCACCTCCCGGGTTCAAGCAATTCTCCTGCCTCAGCCTCCCGAGTAGCTGGGACTACATGGATGTGCCACCACGCCCAGCTAATTTTTGTATTTTTTAGTAGAGACAGGGTTTCACTATGTTGGCCAGGATGGTCTAGATCTCTTGACCTCATAATCCATATGCCTCAGCCTCCCAAAGTGCTGGGATTACAGGCGTGAGCCACTGTGCCCAGCCAGGTTTCCCATTTCTTACTGAAATAGATTTTGTAAGTGATTTTTTTTTTTTAAGAAAATCTGTCCCTTTCACCCAAGCGTTTAGGTTTAATCTCATAAAATTATTCCTAATATTCTATTATTTTTATACCTCAGATATATCTGTAGATCATTCCTAACTCTTTGAGGACTTCTGCTGAGACGGCTGAGTAAGAACAGCTCTGTAGTAAAGTTCCCAGGGAGTGCACCGCAGAAAGTGAGTGATCTCTCCGTATTTCCAACCGAGGACCAGGTTCACCTCAATGGGACTGGTTGGACAGTGGCTGTAGCTCATTTGGAGGGCAAACTGAGGCAGGGTGGGGTGTTGCCTCACCCAGGAAGTACAAGAGACCAGAGGATTCCCTCTCCTATCCAAGGTAGGCTACCAGGGACTTTTCTGGACACTCCAGCACTCTGGCTCAGATACTGCACTTTTCCCACGGTCTTTACAGCCCACACACCAGGAGATTCCCGCAGATGCCGTGCAGGTTTCCAGCACAAACCTGAGTGACTGTTTTAGCCAGCACCTGGAATACCTATGAGACAGAACCATCCATTCCCCTGAAAAAAAGGGGGCTGAAGGCAGGGAGCCAAGTGATCTGGCTCCATGGGACCCACCCCCATAAAGACCAGCAAGCTAAAACCCACCAGCTCGAGATTTTCGCAGCCAGCACAGCAGTTTGAGCTCAACCTGGGACAGTCGAGCTTGGTGTGGGGAGGGGCGTCCACCATTACCAAGGCAGTCCACCATTACCAAGGCAGTCCACCATTACTGAGATAGTTTAACCTTGCCTGTGAAAACAAAATTTTAAGGAAGTTTACACAGCAGATGGTGGAGCCTGTGGCAGCTCAGCAAGGCCTTTTACAGGCAGACTGTGACTAGACTCCCGCCTTGCTGGGCAGGGCATCTATGAAAAAAGGCAGCAGCCCATCAGGGACTTATAAATAAAGTCCCTCCTTCCTGGGACAGAGCACCTGGGAAAAGGGGCAGCTGTGAGTTCCACTTCAGAAGACTTAAACATCCGTTCCCAGCAGCTCTGAAGGGAGACACGGAGCTCCCAGCATAGCACTTGAGCTCTGATAAGGGACAGACTGCTTCCTCAAGTGGCTCCCTGACCCCTGTTTATCCTAAGAGGCAACTCATACAGGAGAGCTCTGGCTGACATCTGGTGAGTACCCTTCTGGGAAGAAGCTACCAGAAGAAGGAACAAGCAGCAACCCTTGCTGTTCTGCAGCCCCAGCGGGTGATTCCCAGGCAAGCAGGGTCTGGAGTGGACCTCCAGCAGTCCTGCGGCAGAGGGGCCTGTTAGAAGGAAAACCAAAAAACAGAAAGAAATAGCTTCAACATCAACAGAAAGGACATCCACTCAGAGACCCCATCGGAAAGTCATTAACTTCAAAGACCAAAGGCAAATAAATCCACGAAGACGGGAAGAAACTGGCACAAATAGGCTGAATTCACCAAAAATCGGAATGTCTCTTCTCCTCCAAGGGATCACAACCCCTCATTGGCAAGGAAACAAAACTGGATGGAGAAATAGTTTGACGAATTGACAGAAGCGGGCTTCAGAAGGTGGGTAATTAACAAACTTCTCTGAGCTAAAGGAGCATGTTCTAATCCAATGCAAAGAAACTAAGAACCTTGAAAAAAGGTTAGAGACAATGCTAACTAGAATAACCAGCTTAGAGAAGAACATAAACAACTTGATGAAGCTGAAAAACACAGCATGAGAACTTTGTGAAGTTATTAAATACAAAATTTAATAGCCGAATTGATCAAGCAGAAAAAAGGATATCAGAGATTGAAGATCAACTCAATGAAATAAAATGAAAAGGCAAAATTAGAGAAAAAAGTGTGAAAAGAAATGAACAAAGCCTCCAAGAAATATGGGATTTTGTGAAAATACCAAATCTACATTTGATGGGTGTACCTGAATGTGACGGGGAGAATGATGCAAATTTTTTTTGAGACGAAGTCTCACTCTGTTAATCAGAGTGAGGCTGGAGTGCAGTGGCGTGATCTCAGCTTACTTCAACCTCTGACCCCCAGGTTCAAGTAATTCTCCTGTCTCAACCTCCTGAGTAGCTGGGATTACAGGCGTGTGTCACTGCGCCTGGCTAATTTTTGTATTTTTAGTAGAGATGGGGTTTCACCATCTTGGCCAAGCTGGTCTTGAACTCCTGACTGCATGATCCACCCACCTTGGCCTCCCCAAGTGCTGGGATTAGAAGCATGAGCCACCACACCCGGTTGTGACAGGGAGAATAAAACCAAGTTGGAAAACACTCTTCAGGATATTATCCAGGAGAACTTTCCCAACCTAGCAAGGTAACCAACATTCAAATTCAGGAAATACAGAGAACACCACAAAGATATTCCTCAAGAGCAACCCCAAGGCACATAATCATCAGATTTACCAGGGTTGCAGTGAAGGAAAAAATGCTAAGGGCAGCCAGAGAGAAATGTCGGGTTACCCACAAAGGGAAGCCCATCAGACTCACAGCGGATCTCTTCACAGAAACCCTACAAGCCAGAAGAGACGGGGGTGGGGGTGGGGGTGCCAATATTCAATATCCTTAAAGAAAAGAATTTTCAACCCAGAATTTCACATCCAGCCAAACTGAGCTTCGTAAGTGAAGGAGAAATAAAATCCTTTAAGGACAAGCAAATGCTGAGAGATTTCATCAATACCAGGCCTGCCTTACAAGAGCTCCTGAAGGAAGCATTAAATGTGGAAAGGAACAACCAGTACCAGCCACTGCAAAAACATACTAAATGGTAAAGACCATCGACACAATGAAGAAACTGCTTCAACTAATGGGCAAAACCACCTGCCAGTACCAAAATGGCAGG